TATCTCAATTATATCAAAATTTCTACATCTCAGGCCATTTTTTATAAACCTTTAAAAACCTTGGTGAAATTTTAACTTTTTCGGTGGAATGAATGCAGTCTAAAAAAATTCCAACGTTGTTTGATATAAAAAATGCAAAAAAATTACTTTCACTACACTTTTAAAAAAATTGATGTAATTCAACTTTTGCTTGGAATGGCCCATATACGCTCATTGAGTAGTCTACATCAGATAAAATGCATTATGTATTAAAAGTGTTAGTCAGTATTTAGTGGTATTTTACACTCATGCTGTTCCAAATATGATTTTCTTCTTCATTTTAGATACTGTACTACAAAATAAAACGACAATGTTCCACCAATCCAACCTCTAAGCTCTAATCTCTGCTGCTATCAGTGCAAAATGGATATAACAAGAAGTCTTGAAGCATAAAGGTATATGAGAACCAAAACAGTTGCAAGCAGCTTAAATGAGCTAGATATGAAGAATGTTAATGATACCAAGGCATGTCTTTTTAACACTGGCAAACATATGTATTATAGTACTCTCCCACCCAACAATGATTCACTGAAGAAGCATGTGGGGCAAGAAACAAGCAAGCTAATGGCAAATTACCAGGCAGGACTTCATCATTGTTGCCTTGAACCAAGACCAATTATTCTACCATCTATCGGCCATAGATGTGTTCTTGATAAGGGTGTTTTGTGGGTTAAATTGATGGATCTACTTCCACCCCCCAAATCAGTTCTTGAGTTGGCAAACTGCAAGTGTAAGAAAAAAATAGTCAAAATAATTTAGGCACGTGTGCCAAAAGCAACCTAAATAGCACAGATTTTTGTTTGTATTGACTGCAAAAACAATAGTACACTTATAGAGGAAAAGTCGACTTCGAGATAGTGGGTTTCGGAAACAATTCAGAAGAAAGTGAATTAAATATTGAAGTTGATTTAATAAATATTATTTTTTTTCGGACATCTGTTAGTGTCGTTAACCTGTTTCTAAAAAGAATATTGCCTTTGTTCAAATACATAACCACATTAACTAAAAAAAGACTAATTGTAATATTTCTGTTCACTATGGTATGTACATTCATTTAATTTTCTTGACTTCTCCAGTAAATTTCTAAGTGAGAAATAATTGATTTATTTGTGTTTTTGTGCTCTCGATGTTAATTTGTGACTTCATTGCTTAAAAATAAATACGTTTGACAGCTTCTGTAAAATGAATGCAACTTTTTGTGCTGTCATTGTTGTAAACTGCTTGTGGTTGGTTATTACATAAAATTTATTCGCTAATCTGAATCAGCGTTGTTGGTGTCCCTGCTTGAAGACCTTTCGAGGTTCCTCGCGACCCCTGTCACACAATTAAAGTATTTTTTGTTGTTGGGTAGATATGCCATATTTTTCGTAATCTACCTAATAAATTATGATTGACTGAGGAAGTCTGATTTTGGTCAGGCAAGACGTTACAGAAATACATTTGTGTTAGTGTGCTGCATGGCTCTTGAATTGCATAGTTCTTATGCTACGTTGTTGTAAACCTATGGTTATTGAATTTTTGGGGACCCCGTATATTCAATTTCGCATCAGGATTGTGGAACAAGCTGTAATGCGTTCAGTATGTTCATTTTCATACAAAACTAAAGAATTTATTTAGTTACCAGATGTGCGCTACGAAACTCATTTTCTGGGCGTTTTCAATGCTTCGTCTCACTGCCCATATCCGTGGTAAGGATCTACAAGTGTTTAATAACTTACTTACTTTTTAACAACGTCTTAGCATAACTTAACTAATAATAATAACGAGAATATCGGTCAGAGACCGAAGACTTATCGATCGAAAGTTAGGGGATTCCCAAAACAGCGCTCTAACTCCATAGTGACACCTTGTGTCCCATCACTAATTAATTAATGACTTGCTAATTACACAACATAATTCGCCCAAAATCGATAGGCTTATGGTCCGAGATATGATGAATGCACATGCAAAATATGGAGCAGATTAAAGCTCGGTTTCGTGAGATATCGCATGCGTCTAACAGACAGACAGACAAATACCTATCAACATACTTACCGATCAAAATCGATAGTAATCGAAGTAATAACTAAACAGTCTATGGAAAGGCTACCCAACTCAACGCAAGATCGAGCAGTAATAACTAAGATTCATCCGCCCGCTAACAGCTGATTCAATTCAATTGTTACGTCATGCAGAAGTCATTGTTCATTGCCAAAAATGTAGAGAATATAGGACAGATCGTAGCACATATTTCTTGTAGAAAAAGCGTTCTTTCCGTAAAACGTGCAACTTTCGGAAGTGGGAGCAAGGCATTATTTGTTACTAAATTTCTAAGGAACATTTTAGAATTATTTCCAGGTAGTTTCCCTATGTGCGTTACGAAACTCATTTTCTAGGCGTTTTTCAGGGCCTCGTCTCACGGTCTATATTTACATGAATACAATTCCCCTTATCTGATCTTCTTTGTTTATTATTATTTTATAGAAAATTGGCTTCGTGAGTAGAAAATGTTCATGTTTTGTGGTAGGTTTAAAGTGCTCAATAGTGTGCCATGGCATAAAAAAGGCTGGCAACCACTACAGTATAATAAACTATACCAGACTCTATTTCTTTTTCTCTCGTTTTGTTCGTCTCAACGATCCCTATATGAGAGAGATCGCTGTCATTAGTCAGTTCTTCATCATCGGCGCGAATTCATTTCGGGCAATCGTAGTTATACTTAGACAAGCCCTATGGCGTCGTAGTGACGTAATTTTTGGATGACGTTGTCAGGTGGGGGTTAGGATTGACATGTGGAGTACGAGGACGCCCACAAGTATGTTAAGTACGAAACTGCACGAAATCCCTTTTCACCGGTTTACACTGCTCATTGCGTCATATTTTTCAGTACTAGTTATCTGAAATATATAGTTAAATATGATAAATTTAAAAATAAATCAATACCTTACATTCTTGTATTGATCCTCGAATGTTGAATTGGGACTGTACATGTTATAGATCATGTCAGAGTTGAAATATAAAAATGAAATTGAACTGGGGAATTTCCATGACAAGCTGTTGGAAGAAATTGTTAGGATTGAAGATAAAAATTATACATCAGGCGGATTGTTTTTTTCACAATGTCTCTATGAAATACATGACATAATACAAAGTATGATGAAATTTAGCGATAGTTTTTCTCTGGATCATTCTGCTGTGTCATTCTTACTAATGAATGCGTCTGTCTTGAAAACAACCTTAGAAATCATATTACACACACCAAATGATATGCTATATTTGAGACAAAAATTTCCAGATATATTCAACAGTTTAAACTTTTTCGATTGTCTTATTTCAGTTTTGATTCGTGTTCATCCATCCAATACCTTGTTATTTGCGCTAACTGAAGTATTGTCCATTTTCATATTAGTTTCCTACAAGTTTTCTTGTTCCCAGTCTTATTTACATAAACTACAGTGTTGTATGAACCAAGATATACCGAATTTAAAAATTTACTTATATTTGATGTACCATTTGGTTTTAATAAGTCAAGATTATTTTTGTGAACATTTCCATGAATTCCTATGTGGTACTAATGGTGTTTTGAGGAATGACTTTTTGTCAATTCATTTATTCAACAGTGAAACTGACATTAAAATATTGACTTTGAAAATTTTCAAGTCATTGTTATCTGTGAAAGAAAGTGAAATTGTGAGATTTAAATTACTACAAAATATTAACTTATTTGATGGTTTTTCCAAAACTGTAAAATCGTTTAGAGCACGTGGATTGTTCTGGAATTTTCTCAGAGAATTATTGCCATTTTATAACATACATGATAACTATGATTTGGTACCAACTTCGGCCTCAAAATTTATTCTTGAAGAAATTCGTTACATCAATGTGGAAGATATTACTTTGCGAAATTTCAAAGGTGATCTCCTGGGAGGTGCTCGGTTTTCACCTGCGATTGTCAACTTGGTTTTAAACTGTGTCACTTGGGTCTGCAAAAGTGACGATTCGAATTGTGATGACGTGATACTGGTTAACCTCCGTAAACTGCAGCTGTTGATTACTCATAAAGATGCATCAAGCGCAACTATTTCGACACAAAATTATTATAGTGTGCTTCATGGAAGATGATGAAGGTCTCGTAGATTTTCTCTTGCTCCAACTTGAATTATATTGCATTTGCCAACAAAGGTTAGTTTGTTCAACTGATATTTAATTTTTATGGAGTCTTGATACTTTAGCATACTTTTGTCAATTACCGTAATAAACAAATTTTGTCTTTTTTAATTGCCTGTGTCTCTATGAATTAATTTAACTATTTGTTGGAAGTCAAGAAATCAATGCCCTACACATTCGACCATCCTATTTCCTTACCTTGACTCCAAGAAATTAAATAATTTAGTATTATTGACAATTACAACTAGAATGTGTTTATCAAGACTAGACTGATTCATTTCTTGCATTACTTACATGATTTTAATCGATTGTAGGTACATAATCTTGCAGTAGTTAGGATAGATATGTAGTGTGTTTCTCAAGAATTACCGTATGTGCTTATTCATCATAACTTTAATGTAAATTGTGCCTGTATCTGTCAATCTTATGCTTCAAAATAAAACATGAGTAATTCAGAAATGCTTTATTTATTACCAGAATTGCATCATCAATTATGAAGGAAAGCTTCATATTCAATCCATTTGAACTATTTCTTGAAGTGATGGATGCATTGTCCTATGACTCTTCTATCCTTTTGGATTGGTTGTTATCCAATGAAACAAAGTTTCTCCAATACTTTATTCGATATTTGAGGATTTTAGAGTCTTCATGGAAGGATTTCATCAAAGCTTGCAATAATAAAGATGACAAGACACCAAAAAGCAGCACCAGCAATGGGATGAGGACTTGTGATTGTTCCATTTCTACATTGATCAAATTGAAAACTTCAATCAAAAACTTGGCTGAATCAAATTTATTCCCTTATTGTCCGACCCCGCTTCTGAAACGTTTAAATACCATTGAATCAATATTTGAAAGCAAAGTTGAATCTTGAAGTATTATTTGGTTTTAACCTTTCAGTAAGAAAGAAAAAAAAACTATATATGGGCTACCATCCATGTTTGGAAAAATGGAACATTTTTTTGTCTTATTATTACATTATTATAAATTGGTTGTCTCAGCTTGCATCATTACTGGCTGGTATGAGCAATTGCTAGTTTAAGTCACTGATTGTCTTTTTTAATGCATGTTTTTATTGTTTGCATTTTGCTTCAGTCCTTTATGTTAAAATGGAAAATGATACATATGGAAATGAGAGCGGCATGAATGAAAATGTCAGTTTAGAGCAGTCAATTGAACAAGCACCCGTAAAGACTAAAGAAGAACTATTTTGTCATGATAAACCCGACGAGGGCCATAAGGACAATAAACCACCTAGTGACGAGTCAACCGATCAAGTTGAAAGTGTATTGACTGCAAACAAAAAAGACGAATCTAATTCATCTGAATCAGTAACTTTCAAAGTGATTTTCAATAAAAACAAACATGATATAAAATGGGAACTTGATAAAACTGTATTATCTCTAAAGAATCATATTCAAACTTTAACTAATGTTGCTCCAGCGATGCAAAAACTCATGTTCAAAGGTTGGTTCTAACCCACTTGTGATATTTCTTCTATACATCATTATTTTAATTGCATCGATTGTAATACTTTTTTCAGTTTGGTTTTATTTTATTGGGAGGTTCTATTTTATACTGTCATGTCCTTCACTAATATGGTTGGTGATATAAGTAATATTTAGTGTAGAATGATTGTAATTTTGTAATCAATGAAATGAAATATTTTAAAATAAATAATTACAAATATTTAAGGTCTTGCCAAAGATGAAAAGACATTAAGAGAACTGGGTGTAACAAAAGGTTCAAAGATGATGCTTGTTGGCTCAAAACTGCAAGATGTAATATCGATAAATACTGTCAATGCCGGGGCATCAGCTTCAGAAGATGAGAAAGCGGAAAACAAGAAAGAACCCTTGTCTAAGCAGAAGCCTCATGCAAAGGTGCGTTATGTTATCTGTAGTTGGCAATAGGTAAGCCAAACAAGAGACAATGTATAATAAAGAGAATCCCCACCTGTTACTAGTTAAAAAGTGGGTGCTCCAGAAGTGTGTGTACCAATATGGAGGTAACTTGTTCGCTTCACGTTGTGTAAAGGGACTGAATCCCGTGAGCAGGGTGTAAGCTAACACAGACAGTCCCCGAACTCGTAATATACCTAAAATAAGGAAAATCGGAATGAAATTATGGCCTAACCCTTACCTGGTAATTGGTACACACACTGCAGTAGTACCCAAAAAGTGTGACACATTGGATCAGAAAATGCAAAATTTTGGAAGGCAACTGAGGCAAGACTTACTTGACTGGCCTCTTTTGACAATATCTCAATATCAAAAAGCTTTTGACTACAATGCTTTCCCATAATTCCAGATATTTCTAGCCTTAAATTTACTATGTCGCGTACGCAAATGGTAGAGAGATGCCACCTGTCGTCAATACAATGCTTGCAATTTAGTAGTTCATGTAAACGTTCTAAAACGATCCATGCTTTCCATTGCTCCCTTTTTAGAGAAAGGATTGCACGTAATAAACTCGATTTAAAAGAGGTATTGATGAGATTCCCTCTTGGGTTGATCCTGCGCATCTTTCATATTTATTTACGCGATTCGAAAACTCAAAAATATTGCACTAACACATATTTTATTGTGTACCACACGTATACCAAAAAGGATAGATAGCTTGAAGACTACTGGCGCATTATTGTTATAGGCTATCAATAGTTTTTAACTTGCGTTATATTATCTGGATATCTGTCGTCGTTTTTATTAGGAGTGTTCATAATACACACAAGTGATATTGTTACATATCTAACCTTGAATTTCAACTAGCTAAGGTATGTAGTGAGATTTATAGGGGTAAAAGTACAAACATAGGCGCAAATTAGTAAAAACAGAATTGATTATAGACTCGGTAAAAATGACGGACTCGAAATCGAATCCGGGTCCAAAAAATGCCTGGATTCGAATCCGAGTCAAGATCCGAATCCCGGCCCATCTCTATTAATTATTTCAATCCTAGACTTTTTTATGACAAGGTAATTGAAAAAGGAGTTCCAGATGATGTAATGCCTGGGTATTCGAATGGGAAAGAGCCTCTTCCAAGCACACCTTTAAAAGGAATGGTGAACAAATTCAGCAACAAGGTTGTTTTTCATTTTTGTAAGATTGAAATTAGTTCTTAGTGAAAATTGGACATCTGTATTATAAGTATCAGAAGTATTGGATCCAGGTCACTTTTATTATTAATTCATAGAGTGGTGCTCCCTTATTTGAAGGTGTGAACTAAAAATTAAAAGCAAACTTCATTTCACTATTTGCCATATTCAAAAAAAGATTTTTGTTATTCGACAGTTCCCGATTTGAACTTTTCGTTTAACACTGCCTAGTGGGAGAGGGATTGAGTGAGAGTCTATTCAATAATCTCTTGTTGTGACTTGTGACACAATAAAAAACTTAAGCTAAGTCATTTTAAAAATTGTTATTGGAATTGTTGATGAAATAAAAACTCAAAAGACGTGCAAACAACTTTCTGGGATTCAACGGAAAAGACTTCGTGTTATGAAAATAACACTACATTCATGCAGTATGATAATGAAATTTGTTCTAGCGTAAGTGTTGTGTATTTCCATGCTATCACCAAATTGTCAACTCAGAATGAGAAGGCCAATGATCTAAAATATTTGTGGTACATTTGTTAATAAGTACGGTATGAATTTTATCTTCAGGTACGACTAACTTTCAAACTTGAAGCAGATCAACTTTGGCTTGGGACGAAAGATCGCACAGAAAAACTTCCACTTAATTCAATCAAAGATGTTGTTTCTGAATCAATTGATGATCACCCTGGTTATCACATGCTCGCACTTCAATTGGGACCAACTGTGCAAAGCAGGTGACGGAAGTTCGCTTTTGTTGTATTTTATGGATGGCATATGTGCAAGCCACAACTTCAAGTAGAATGTTCTTCAGTTTGTATTCCAGACCACCTATCTATCTTACTTATATTAAGATAGTCAATGTGAAGACTATGACATCCTAATTTGGGGTGGGTCTGCATAACTGCAGTGTGTTCTTTTAATATTCCTAGAGGCGGATGCAAACCAAAACCGCAAAGCGGCTGTACAATAATAACTGCATTGGTAATCTAAAATCTCTTGTGAATAAAATAAACCACATAAGCTAATTAAGACGCAGTTGTGGCCATTTGCTAATTGTAAACCCCATACTGTAATACGTCGGTCGTCGAACGACTCACTACTCAAACAATTCGGTAGCTAACCCAAAAAGTTCTAGTCAAATATACTGTGGTTCATGAACACCAGAGCACGTCGCCGAGTGAGATTACGTCATCCGAACTGTTTATCTTGGCCATTTATTGATAAGAGAGCAATGCTCAAAACGAAGTAGTACGGGTAGCCATCTGTCACAGTAGACTACCGGTATGGAAATCATCACGACTAACGCGAGTACGGAACCACCACAAGGTGATCAATTTTTGATGGCGTCCTCGCACATGACAAACTAATCCCACAGTGCCATTCTATTTATTCAATATAAACTGGCAATTTGTTTATTCGATACGGTACCATGGCTTCAATTGTCCCTGAAAATAAGGTTCTCAATCACAAAAATTCACAATGGATGCTCTTATAGCATTCATTGCAATTGCAACCCAGATGCTATTCTGAAACTTGTAACGTTTCAAGCCAGTGATTCCCATTCTTTTTCGGCACATTCCTCCCTATGCCTATTTGGATTACGGTACTTTATTCCCACTTGCATTGCTTAAAAACTTTGTTTTCGTTATCTATTCAATTCTTATAGGATTTTTAGCTAGTGTTATGGGTGAGTCATTAGGTTAGTTTATAATGTGTGTATAAGGAAGTATTATAATAATAATAAAGGACTAAATAATATTTGTTATACTACAGCAAACACAAAGCAAAATTTCTCCCTGGTTGCTTTGAGCCGAGATTTCATTAAGAGCAAGATCATGATACATTTGATCGTGTAACTTTTGTTTATTGCTACATTTTAAAATTTTGTCTTGAACTCATCTTTTCAATTTCAGGTATTGGATCTATTGGGTTCCATCACAATATGTTGATGCAATAAAAGATGCAATTTTGGGAAAATGGCAAATGTTTTGAGGCTTGTTTGTTGCCAGTGACTTCTCATATACCTGCAGATTGATTGCTGGAGCATTGTGCCAAATTTTGACCTTGTAATAATCTACTTCTTACATTTCTTGTTATATTTTTGAGCATTACACTTTTAAGAATTGTCAAGACTCGCACACACTTTCCATTGCTGGTTATGCATATGTTTGTTATTTGATAGGGTTTGGGAATTTATATCAGCTCATTTTAAATATCAAAAGGTGGATAGCAAGGATGGCCAATTCCGAATTATTCACAATTTAGAATACATTTTGAATTTTTATTTTCGAATATGAATAATCGAATATATTCTAAACTAATATAAAGTAATAGCTCTTCTTAGTGCACGAAGGAATTCACATACGATAAAATAAACAACGGAATAACTGTTATCTTCAACCTGGCCATTAAATTTTACGGGCTTTTCTTAATTTGTTCATTTCCCGTTAGTTACTTCACAGAAAACCTCTTCCCAGACTGTTAAAAAAATGATTTGCAGTAAGATTATCAAACCTGAATGAAAGTGTTTCGATCGCAAGCGAGACCAAAGTCAGTAAAATTGTCATTTAGCGGAGAACGCTATACATTTCGATTCAGTAGCACCACCACAAATAAAAACGATACATGCCCTAATCACTTAAGACTTTGGTGCCCTGTATATAAAAAGAAATAATGATTAAACTAGTGTTTCATGTTATCTGAAATTGAATAAGTAAGTTTCGGTACTCACTGCTAATTGAGGGCCAAGTTATGATTAATTAACATGATATTTTTTGGAAATAGTCCTCATGCCTGCGAACATTTATAGAGAAGTTTAACTGTGAAACTTGAGAATGAAAAAATTCATTTCAACAGGGTCAATATTGATGTCGGAGTTGAATCATTTTATTTAGCAATAAGGCAACATAATAAATTCGACTATGGCAATTTCTGTGGTACCCCCTTTTCCTCCGTGCCCTAAGCACGTGCTTATTTGCTTAAGGTTAACCCAGTCCTGGATAAAAGCGTACCAATGTTGCCTATATTTAATCAAATTAGTATTCCTTTGAATTCCATCGCGGATCCTGGCATTTTTAAGAACGATAACGACTTCGCAAGAATACGAATCAAAAATTAATTTTAATCGGACAGTTTACCACACGTGTCTACATATTGCTTCGAGTAGAAAGGCGTTTTATATTTTCGTAATTGCGTAAATACGAATCAAAAATTCTTTATAATCGGGTAGTTTACCTCTCATTTTTTGTCCGCAGATTGCCGTGGTATTTTAGAGTGAAAAGTCTGTTATTTATTCGTAAGTCGACGCAACCGTGAGTTGCGTTGAACAGAATTAAAATATTGCGGCAAGGCATTTTAAATGTTAGTATCGGTCATGAATTGAATATTTTGCTCAACAGGAGGAATAATATCGAAACTCGAGGAATATAATTTTAACACGAGGCTTATTGTTTTCTACTTTTGCTTGTAAAACACTGTAAATGTTGTTCATAAAATGTAACTTTTCACTTACATGGCCCGCCAGTCTAAGGATGCAAAATCTTTGGCCCCTGGAACAAAAACCTTGCCCACCTGTCGGAAAGATCGAGAAAATTGGCACAATCTAGAGAAAGGTTTATGCCAAGCGCTGTAACACACACAGAAGTGAAAGAATCCTCACTACAATCTTACTGAGTGAAGAGAAAGAATGAAGTTATGACCACGAAAAAATAAAGTTACGAAGGTTATTAGTGAAAAATTTTGGTGATCGCAAGTGGTGAAGAGTATGCAAAAACAACGCATCGTACCAATGAGCATAGGATCGTACTAACTAAGCGTTAGGAATACTTTTGCCACCGCACTGTAGGGTTCGAATTCGTTTTTGTTAAAAAAGTGCGGGCAAGTGAAAAACGGGATTACAAAAAAATGTTAAATCAGTGAATATGTAAATATTCTCCTGAAAATGGCCAAATTACCCCGTTAAGAGTAATTCCCCCATGTTTGGAAATCACGGATGACCTCTACGGAGGGGGTTATTTAAAATGCGATTGGGACATTGCATTGATGACTTGTTAATGTAATAATGATGCAACCAAAGTGACACTTTGATTGCAACTATAGCCTATTTTATCCCTATCAATGATGACCAAGCGCGTGCGACTGCCTTTAATACTACGTTTTAAATATTGTTATTGAGTTTGCCCGTTGCAATTTGCGTTTTCAACATTTAATTTGACCATTTTTAACTAATTAATTATGTATTTAAAAGGTATTACGCCCTTTTTACTTTTTTTCTAAAGTGCCTAAATAAGCGCCTAAAAAAGTGCCTAATTTGCAAGTGCCTACTTTTAGTCCGTCTCCCATCAACTTCATCGATCTAAATATTGCCGAAAAGATTAACGAACCGCAACGATATTTCTCACGCGTTATTGTCCACATGTCCCTCATAGCTCTGCGAAATTACACTAAAATGCGGCCACAAACAAAAAAGTTATGACCGAAAACCCGACCGAAGAAGAAAAACGGATCATTTTTACATGTCGCCAACTACCCATTCAGCCATTGTCCCATTAAAAAAACTTAAAATCCATTCAAATATAGGAGATAAAAAGATGAAACTTGGCAAGGAGATAGAGTTGTGTTTCTTTCAACCATCTTTGAATTTTCGAGTTTCTGCATTTAAAGGAGGGGAATAGGGGGGTGCGCATTTCACATACGCCGATAATGTCTTTGTCGACCAATTTGCGACCACCGTGTTTTTGTCTGTTCAACCTAGTAGTATATATTTACGGTCTGTTTGATTGCTGTGATGCGGTGCTTTGTATATAATTTGACGAGTTTTGTTCGAAATGACCGTGTTCTTGAAATATGTGACGGTTAGAAAAGCAATTAGAAGCCCAATTTTTTCACTCAAAGCTGCGTATGCTCTCTCTAGTCGATGCAGCAGAAACGATGTTCAAGGCCTGAAAGCCGGAGTGGAAGTGGTGACTCCTCTGCGGCCCATGGGCCGGGGCCACGGCCCATAGAATTGGGCCTCGGCCCATCAGGCTATGGGCCGCGGCCCATCAAGTTGTGTAAAGGGACTATTCACTTGGCTAACACAGACAGTCCCCGAACTCATAATAGAACTATAATGTAAAAAATCTGAATTTTTTTTTGTCCTAACCCTAACCTGGTACACATACTACAGAAATATATTTTTTGGTTCGAATATTGACAATTTTGTAAAAATTGCAAATTTTGGTAAGATAATTGAATTTTTCCTGATGGGGCCGCGGCCCATAGCTTGATGGGCCACGGCCCATGTGGCCCAATTAGATGGGCCGTGGCCCCGGCCCATGGGCCGTAGAGGAGTCACCACTCCTGTAGGAAATCCGTGGTCGCACACTGGTCATTCGGTCACTAATACGTCTTCCGAGTGTCGTACCATAGCCATAATGGCTCTGGTCGTACTTTGGTGTCTGTATAGCTTTAACCGTAAATATATACTACTACTTTTAACCCCTGGTCGTGGAAAGGTAATCCAAGGTTTAGCGTGTAGAATAAATGCCAATGCACCTACGGTGAAAAAAATAACGGGTTAGAAATATTGGTTTTTGTTTTATAGCGAAATAAGCGAATGATTTGAATGAAATCTTCCGCAGACTGGCTACCCGGTACTGGTACGGTACGGTACCCTATGCTATGGCCTACCTAATTTAGTTATTTAATTAATCGTAAAAGAAGTGAAATAGCTGAATGTCAACAGAGGTCAAAGAAGTTTTTGCAATCGTTGAGTTGATATTATTATTAAATAAATGCTCTTGCTGTCTTTAAGTACTGAAGCACTGAAGCAACTAGCATTATTATAAAAGAAAGAACTTTCACATTCAGACATTTGTATATACTATATCTGTATATAGCAGACATTTGTTAATGCTATTTTTCTTGCATTCTAGAGATTATAGGGATACGTTATTTTGTTGAAGAATACTTTATCGATAAGCAAGGTACGGTATGTACCTGTAATGCAAATGTATGTGACGGAATGTTTGCATTATTCTGCTAATACTATCCCAAGAAACGAGGCAAAATATGTCCAGAATTCAAAACAATCTAGGCCTACTGCACAGTTTCAGAGTTTCTTAGTCATTATCATTATGATATTCTAATAAATGGCCTTAGATACAGTAGACATGATTTTACTGATTTAGTATCTATAGAATTAGGAACATATTACGATTTTGACTAACTATAAACTTTGAAAACTGATCAACAATCTGACAATGCAAAACCAGTTCATATTCCGTAATTCTTCAAATTCTATATTCTGATACCAGTTAAAAAAATATTTCATTCACTGATTTAATTGTGATTTTCTTGATTATTTTTATTACAGAATAGCTTGTTTTAATATTAGAAATGAAGCGAACTATACACTTCAAGAATCATCACAGGGCATTCATTCAACCAGTTTTGACCAGGAATGTTAAACATAGCACATGTTTCTCAGATTTCTATTTTGGGTCATCTTGTTCCACTCTCGAAGAACTGCAGGTTTGGGTGAGTAGTCTCGGAGCGATCAATCAAGAAAGAAAAGATAATGTTGGAAAACATATTAAAGTGCAAGAAATTCCAACACAACTTGGACTATATGCTTGGGGAAAGCCAGCTGAATACATTTTCATGCTTTCTGAATACTGGGGTTTGCAAGATGAGGCTAAATATATAGCTCTTGAGCTTTTCAATGTATTCATGTCAGCATTGGTTATGCAACTTCGCAAACTAATTTTTGACAAAATTGCATTTAGTAATTATCAAAGTGATTCAAGTTTTGATACGTCATCTGAAATTGATCATCATAGCCAGCAATTTGCACCTGGAGATGTCTTTAGTTCAAAAGATAAAAATACACACTTGGATTGGATGAATTTGGGAAGAAAAAAAGCTAATAGTGAATGGAAAAAAACTTTAGAGCACATAAAAAGTCAGATGAAATTACGAGCAGTCACTTGCGTTGTAATAGCTAGCAAAGCTACAGCTCACTATGAAATCGTTACATTGAACAAAGCCTTGGACTTTCTGCAAAAGCAGGGACATCATTTTAGCAAATCTGTACTTCTAAAGTCAGAATTGAGAATTTTGAAAGCCATTAATTTCAGGATTAAATTTCTTCCTTCACCTCACCCTTATATAACAGTCATGCTTGAAATTTTGAATAGAACTGACCAAAGTTTCAATGTCAAACTGTTTTATCCAATTTGCATTAGGATATTAGATCTTTTCTATTATTTGCGACCGAGAATAATTGGACGTGTTAGTGAGATCTTAGTGACTGAGCTTGGACTTCCCAACATGAAGAGTTTATCTGAAGCACAACGCTTTATAGAAAACCAAAATGACTTACAATTCATATCAGCTGGTATTATTGCTGCTTCAGTGTATATCAAAAACAAATCTATTAGTGACAATATCATCACTCTTTTAAGTAAAATGATTCATGTACAAGAATCTGATCTCACTCGTTTTACATGCATTATTCTGGATGTAACACTTGCATCTTGATTGTATTGTTGATTAATGCTAGGTAAAAATGTATGTTATTGAATTTGTGAATTGGATATTAAATTTTTAACAACATCTCATTTAATTCCAGAGCATGTGTATATTTCACTTATTAACAGAGAACAGTTAATGAAGTGTTTCCAGTCATTTTGAAAATTCACTGTTCTCCACTATCAGTTGTTAAATATCCGAAGCAGTGTCGTTCTAAAGCGAGTTATTTTTTTTCTAATATTAGTAATATTTACCTTGTTTCACTTGTCCTATTTTCTTTCATTAATACACTGTTTGTTTATAAGACACTGTCCATAATTTTGTATTCTACTTTACCTATTCCTTATGCAAATACATTCATTGGCTGTTGTTACTTTTCAAGGGCTTGCAAACTCTCACTGTCAATATTCAGTTTATTCAGCCTTATTCATTGCACTCTGAACATCACCAAACCTATTGTACAGTTCAAACCAGGCCTGATTTACACAGTTACACAACTTGTCAAACTTTGAAAAAAATGTCAAACCTTATTTTAAGTTATTCATTCGTTTTTAGTTATTCATGCGATTTAGATTTGGCTTAAGAAAATGAACCCTTGTAGTAGGTTCTTGCTGTCATTGTGGAAAATTGCTTTGCTATTAAACAAAAGATATTGTTTTGAGTGATAGATTTTGTAAAATTTCTTCGATTTTGGTTTGTGATGGGTGTTGCAAATTATAGTTGTTACTATTAGAAGTGATTCGAGCATGCTAGAAGCTAATGTACATTTATTTAAATAGGCTTAAACTAAATTATAAAATATGGTTGCATAGAACATGTGAGAAACATTCACTTTTATGAATGCATATTAACAGAATTTTAAGTTTATTCCAATTTTCATTCCTTCAATTTATTCCTATAGCAATTCATTATCGATCAGTATAAGCACAGTTCATTTTACATTTGTATGTGTTAGTGCCTCATATATGTTTCATATGTTTATTGCTTTCATTTCCTTCATATATTTCAGGATTTTCAGCAGTCATTAATGGTTATTGTAGCAATATTATCTTAATATGGTCATCGAAGAAAATGCAACAGAGGGAAAAAAATACGAGAAAATGAAGCATGTGAAATTATGGGAGGACAATTTGAGACCAGAACAACGTCAACTAATATCTGACTATAATAAGCATCAAAACTTAAAATTTAATAAAGTACATCCATTGAGAAAAAACATCATCGGATTTACTATAGGGGCAGCTGTACTTTCTATTTATGCATACACATGGCGTCAAATGTCTAAAGATCGTCTTTGTGATGAAATTGATACAGAAATACAGGACAAGCTGCAGCATTAACTGATGTGGTTGATCGAGTTAAACATTTACTGTTCTCGTCATAAACTATGTTTGTTTTTACGCAACCCATCTTGGTTCACTTGTGGTTCACAATCCAAGAAATTAGATTGGGTCAATATATTGTGCATAATTAGTTTTTAGTCAAGGCATAAACCATTAAGTGATAAACGTGCTTTGACTTTTTTTGGTTTAACTTTTGTGGCATTGCCCACATAATTTGGACATTCACAGGTGACCTTAATAAATTGTTTGTATGTTTACTAATTGTTAAATATGGGTATGTCAAACATTAACTTGATTGGAATTATCATCATGATATTTTCCTGCAAAAAGAACAAGCAGTTCAATATGACACTCACACAGTAGTAGTGTAGTGGTGTATTTAGGTTTTAATGCTGTTAAGCTCAAAAATATCATTTAGTGTATACTTTTATTAATTAATGATGAATTGTGAATGTTATGGTATAGTTAGATAAAAAATGGTCCAGAAATTTGTCACCTCATTTAATGCTGTAATAGGAAAGTTGTGATGGATAATGATTAGGTAATACTTAATTTTGCTATAAGTATATCACTTTGAGCGAATTAATTAAAATATGTACCGGTATGTTGAAGTTTACTTTTGGTGTGGCTTTGTAGAAATCTGTTACAGTATATTTAACAGCAACCTTCAAATACTGTGTACTTTAAGCATCTTGTTATTATATTTGAAAATGTAAAATTCAGTGCACCAATTTTGTTCCTGAAATTTTGGTAGGCCTATTCTGTTCACCAATCGGTTATCCATTTTTTGTTTATAGATATATGAGGTTAATATTTCATAAAATAAAATGGCGGACACTTCAGATGAAACTAAATTGATCATGGAGGAGCGTAGAAGAATGGATATTAAGGTTGAAGAAATAACAAATGTCATTGATGGTGGATCAAATAACACAACTCTTCGAAGAAAAATTAGTTAGGATTATTCTATAACTAACTATGTTCTTTTCTGTGTATCGAATTTTTAGTTCCTAGTTGATAAAACATGTTCCATACTAGCATTCTGGAATTTCTAAGTAATTATTCTGATATTGTTTATAGTTGTAATGCTATATTCATCGATTACGTTTTTATCGATTATGGTTTTTAAATTGTTCACTCACATGTAGTTTGAGTATTATTGATTTACTCTGATGAGAAATTGTTCAAATCATTTTTTGTGTGTTTTATAGCCGACATGATACAGAATGATGCGATTCTTTCTGATATGGATCAATTCTACAAAACTGAGGAAGAGAAGTATTCTCGTGGAATACGAAGAGCGTTACGCGTGAGAAAATTAGATGTTGATTTCAATGATACAACAACTCAAAGGATTCTTTTCATGTCAGTAGATATGTATATTTAGAAATGTTGTTGTGAAGTGCTTCTATTGGTTTTACACCTACCTGTTTTTAAATTCTATTTCTCCAATAATAATCATTCGAAAGTGGTATTTTCTGGTTTTTAGAAGTGACATTCTGTACAATGTTTTTGCTGTAAATTAAGATCCTCAAAAGGGAATAGGAAATTTTTTGGAGATTCATTTGAATCTGTAGTAATTTACTTCATTTCAATCAATCAAAAAAATTCATGTTTAGAGCAACTGGTAAAGAAATTGGCCTTCCGATTCATAGTGGCGTATTTGTACCAACTATTATGAATTTGGGAAATCAAGAACAAGTCGAGAAATGGGTTCCATTGGCAGTCAATTTCAATATTATTGGCACTTATGCTCAAACAGAGCTTGGTCATGGTGAGAATTTTGCTGTTTGTTGCACATGTATAATCTTGATATGTTTTGATCAATTCCAATTTTTGTATGTGATTTTCTCCTATAAAAGATTTGATACTCCTGTAGTACATGATCCAAGATGATGGACACCGGGAAGTAGAATGTGTACCAAGTTAGGGTTAGGCCAGGCCTGGGCAAGGTGCGGCCCGCAATGTTTCAGTCGGCCCACGAGCAGGTTTCTAGATTTAAACATTTTCTTTTTTATTTACATATAAAATATACTTTGATTGTGAACAAAAGAAATATTTAGAATAGTGGAATTTTTTTTTTTAAATTGCCGATTGTTTTCGTCAGCGCGAGGTATTATTTAGACCGTAAACATCTTCTTTAAGTCGGAGATTATTTTCCTCGAATCACAAATTTCCCTCAACATATATATGTCTTGTATACGCAACTGTGAAACCATTGATGAAAACTAGTTATTCGGCGACTAGATGCTAAAGATAAAGAAAGGAGTGCATCTGCAAGCAACCTGAATTTAGCTTTTAGAGCGGCATTATAAAATACTAAAATTTTCCCCGACCCCCTGTTTACATTAAAAATGCTCCGATGACAGCAAAGATAAATGAATCACCATGTTTGACCACCGAAGGCAGGATCCCAATTTCGCATTGTTACTCACTTTTCAGCATTAATGATAAAATTCGACAAGTGTGCCGTTTCTCTGATCCTATGTAATGTCTCGAAATCGCGCTATTTATGTTTTAAACTAGTTTTAATAACTGTGCTTTATATAAAAAATTCTAACGAAGTACAATATATATAGTACTTTTTTTTTAAATGTGTAATAAAATACATTAAAAACGCGCAATTGACTTTGCTTAGTCCGGCCCGCCACCGCATTTTGAATATTCAATGTGGCCCGATAGCAATAATAATTGCCCAGCCCAGGGTTAGGCTATAATTTCAGGTACAAATACCACAGCTAGTCCTCGAACTTGTAACAGAAATAAAATAAGGAAAATTGGAATAAAATTATAGCCCAACCTGGTACACATACTACACTATAATATGAAGGCATGAATGAGGACTAGTAAATGTCAACCTCTAAAACTATCTGGTCAAATGTTAAAGGAACAAATTTGCGAGGATTGGAGACGACTGCTACATTTATTCCGGAATCCCAAGAATTTGTCGTCAATACTCCCAAACTATCATCAATGAAATGGTGGCCTGGTGATCGTAAGTATTTATTAACATGTATGAAAAATTGATAGATTTCTTGTCATTGAAGTTTCTCAACTCATTTTATTGTTCCTTCCATTTCAAGGTTATTAAATACTAGATATACACCGTTATTAGATTTCATCAAAGGCAGCCGCAGTGAAAGCAAATCTTTTTTAAATTTTTGGAACAAACACATACCGGTAGGTATGTCCTTTTATCATGTATATGCCCCATTCAACGGGATATTTGTAAAATACATTGTGAAATCATTGAATTTTGTTACTAATTGTAGTGTCAGGAAGTTGAAGAAAATATGACTTTTTGAATGACCATCATTTCAAATACCGGTACCTAAAATGGCAATTTTTAAATGAAATAATACTTAATTAGGTATTTTCGTATTTTTTTTGCAGTGGGAAAAGCCGCAAATCATGCAGTTGTAATGGCTCAATTGATCATTAAGGGAGAAAGTTATGGAATGATGCCATTCATAGTTCAGATTCGTGACTTGAGTACGCATCTTCCGCTTCCAGGTATTTTTTCTGATAAGCATGGAGTATATCGCAACATGATCTAATGTTCCTGTTTCTATATTCTTAATGCTTTGAATATTTTCACAGGTGTTAAAGTTGGTGACATAGGAGCAAAGTTTGCATTTGAATCTAATGATAATGGTTTCCTTATATTGGACAATGTTAGGATACCAAAAGAGAATATGCTTTCTGGAGTTGCTGAGGTATTTAGTCAAATGTGCTCAAAATGATTGACTAGTTTCTTGTACTGGATTGACGTTTATGTGTAATAGTTCTTGTGTTGCTGTTGGTGTAGATTTGCTTCTTCCAGATATTTTTTTGTTCAAATTCTCTAAAATTAAGTTTGATTTCTTTTCAAAATTTTCATAAACATGGTCAATATATCTACTATAGATGGTGGTTATGGTTAAAGAAACTGATATAATTTCAAAACATGGAAAATGCTCTTCCATAGAAATTTAAAAGTGTAGTTTATACAATAAAAGTATGTTATAGAGCATTGTTTTTCAAGTTTTTTTCATCATGGCCCACTTGGCACAGCCAAATTATTTTGCGACCCTCACAACCTAAAATAAAAATAAGGTGAAATTTAATAATAGAAAAATTATTAAAAATATATATAATAAAATTGGCAATACCTTTAATGAGACCAATGGGCTTGCATAGTCTTTCCCAAGGCATTAATCTTGGCTGTTTCTTGAATCTGGTTCCAAATCTTTCAATTGTGATCGAAATTTTGTTTCAACATAGATTAGTGTTGAAAGAGAGTTTACCGCACCGCCATTTAGCTTTTTGACAACACACCAGGGGATCGAGACCTTCAGTTCAAAGAGCCTTGTCATATTGTAATTAATACTTCAGGTTGATGCGGAAGGCAATTTCATGCTTAAAAGTGATCCAAGGGTTTTATATGGTGGAATGATGTTAATTCGTGTGAATCTTGTCGACTCTCAGGCGGTTTTCCCTCTGCAGCAAGCATGTACTATTGCAACACGATACAGTATTGTAAGAAGACAGGGTTCCATTCAATCTGGGTTGGTATTGTTTGCAGCAATTCCTTTCACTTTATAGATAAGTATTTTAGATATATGTTGGATGATATCTATGATCATGATTCTGAGCAATAGATGATTTTAACTCTAACTACTTATTTTTGATTTGTAGCCTGATGCAGGACTGGTTAAACATCTAATAAGACTTAGTATAAGTATATAAGTACTCAAAGTTTCAAATTCACTTTCTACATATATATTTTTGAATTACCTTTTCAGTGGGGACGAAGTATCAATTCTTGACTATGTTGCTCAACAGCACAAACTCTTTCCACTTCTGGCTGCAAGTTATGCTTTTCATTTCTCAAGCAGACAAACCCACGAGTTGTATAAGATAATTAATGCTGAAGTGAAGAATGGAGAATTTTCCAATCTTCCTGAAGTTAGTTGCTACCGTAACAATTGAATCAGTTGTTTTGGTTTATGATGCGTTGATCGATACTTAAATATGCAAAATTTCAGAATAGTTGTAAATGAAATTTATCAGTGGATTAATTATGGAACTAGTTTTTTTGCTGTGATAAACTTTGTGTTGTGTTATGTGCCCATTAAGTTTAACTGCATATTATATCAACTGCAACAGCATGTGGTCATTTTGTGATGGTAGACAAATTCTTATGATCTTTATATTTACAGTCATATCTTGTATTGTTTGAAAAAGTTAGACCATGATCGGAAGCTGACAAATATACCCACTATTTTGTTGAAATCATGTTGTTGAGATCATGTTATTTTTACTTATCAGAATAATAATTAGTTTATGAATATTGAATATATTTTAGCTTCATGCTCTTACTGCTGGGATGAAAGCCTATTTAACTGAGAAATGTTTGGCTGGTACAGATATTTGCAGACGGGCTTGTGGCGGTCATGGATATTTGCAGGTAAAATTATTCATTCATGATGATGGTAATTGACATCTTGTTTTTCTGTTATTATTTTTCAATTTGATACGTCTACTTATGCATATATATTGGTACTCAAAATTTGTTACTTTGGGTGTTATGAATGTCCTTGTTTTCATTCAGAAACTGTCTAAAAAATTTCAATAACTGAATTTTTTAATTTAACAATAGCATTTCAACTTGCAAAAGCTTATATTTTGAGGTATTTGTACCAGAATTTGTTGTATATATAGATAAAGTCATCAATTGTTAACAGTCATTTAAATAACTACTTCTCTTTTACAGGCGAGTGGTTTTCCGAATATCTACTTGCAACAATTGGCATCTGTAACGTATGAGGGAGAAAACACAGTTATGTTTCTACAGTGTGCCAGGTTTGACAATTTCAAAAAATATATTATTTTACATTTATCAGTAGAGATATGCAGGACTAACTCCCAATACTTCCTCAATGCCATTGCACAAGTGGATCCGTATGCATATAATGCAGCAAGGATACTGCAGCAGGAATAAACTTATCATACTTGAATATATAACACAGAATTCATTTTTTGATTAAAAATTGGACATTTTTGAATACAGTTTCAGTTGTATTGAAAAACTTTGATAATATTTATGAAAATTGAATATATACCACAAAATTTATTTTTTGATTAAAAAATTGGATATTTTTGAGTTTAGTTTCAGTTGTATAAAAAATCTTGAGATACAGTTGATTGATTACAAGTCATTTCTATCATATTGTGATTATAGATATCTGATGAAATGTATGTCTGGAGTAATCAATGGCAAAAAGATAGTTGGTATCCCATCATACCTCAATGAAAGAATGTCGGATCGGTGTCATGCAACTTCTGAACGAGATCTAACAAATCATGACACACTTCTTCAGTGTTTAAAGCATAGGTAGTATTTTTTTTTATTTTCCAATGGTTATGATACTGAACCAATATGAATGCTCATTTTTTCTTAACTTAGGCAGCTGATTTCTAAACTGCCATTCATTTTTTCATGAGGTCGATTTCTCTTGGCAGTCAACCAATTTACATTATTTTTCGTTTAATCTATTTTCTTCATACTAAAATATTTTGTGCCAAGTTTTATTGAGAGATATATACTGACAGGGTTAGTTAATATTCCGTAAATGAATGAGAGATATATACTCACTGGTTAATTGATATTCCGTAGTAAATGAGAATTGTGGTCCTCTATGACCATAAGTTGTCTGATCCGGTGTTTTTCAAACAAAGGTTGAAAGAGCTTCATTGGTCTATTACAGGGGTCTGGAACCCATGGCTCGCGAGCCATATATGGCTCTTTTGGTGACGGCATATGGCTCCCAGAAAAATATAATATTCTAAGGCTAAGCTTACTATTGTTACGAGATCCCAAACTCTTTTATAGCTGAATTTGGCAGGAAATTCCCAATACGTCTCAGAACACGCGCCCAGCACATGTCTATGTTATGTAAGATATTTACTAGACAGGCATTGTGACAAACAAGGGGATTCTGGAACATATATTGTGACATCACAAAGCGATATAGTTTTAAAAACACTACGGAGATGCCTAAACGAAAAAGGCTGATGAGGATCGTAGATTTCAACTTGGGCTGCATGTGAGCAACCGTTCAAGGCCCGCAGCGACTACATGCAGCATCAGAAATCACATTAAATGTATATTGACATTATATGTGTTGACTTTTGAGTAAACATTTCAGGCCTGATTAAGTGAAGAAATGTTATATGGCTCGCACGGAAATGCAATTGAAAATATGTATATTTTATGGCTCTCTTGACCAAAAAGGTTTCCCGACCCCTGGGGCGCCATTCGCTAAACTTCGTAAAAAGCCGGGTTTACGATCTCGTAACTGTGTCTCTCAGAATCGTGATAGAGAAATCTCGTTAAATGCGATTCACCAAAGACCTCGTAAGCACTTGACGCACGGTCACTAGCATTCTCTCGAAATCTTACGCACGGTCGCAGTTGAACAAAATGCACTGACTGATCACTCAGCCGTATCAGTTGTCGCCGCTTACGGTCGAGCGTCTTTCGCCTTCGCGGTAACCTATCGGCTTTCTCTGCTTCACCTTTGCAGCCTGCGTTTTGAAATTTTGTTCATATAGCAGTGGCGTAATCTATAGACTGACGGATAGGCTACATGGAATAAATGCTGAAGTTACACAGAGAGAGATTTATTGCCACAAAACAAATTACATATTGTGAACTATTTGTGTAACAGACAATAAAATCAGTGAGTTGCCAAAGCTTGTTAAGATTCCATATTTTTAATTTTTCATTGAGTCTATAGTCCTCTATTAAGGTCCTTTCATTTGCATCTAGCTAATTTTTTTCTTTCGGATACGACATGGAGATTGTTGGACTTTTCTTCTGCAAGCTTCAATATAGGTAGCCATTTGTGAATCTGTGTTCATAATACTGTAGGCCAGTGCTAGAATAAACAAAAAACAATGACTTCAACAACTGAACAATCTCTGAATCTCAACCCTAGTTTAATCTGTAAATGCGGCAGATATTCCACAGCTAAGTTAACGGCACTAGACTACATACACGCTTACCTGAGTAAGGCCCCTTGATACTATGCCAATTTTTACAAAGTATGCTAACGTCCCAACGAGCCTATTTTAATTTGAATCACTGCTGAGAGCAATCCGAACTGTTAACGAGGCGAAGATTGTTCTCGTTAGCTAGCGAGCTCTTCAGCGGTTAAAGAACTTCCGTGAATACCGATTCTCGATAAAATGTGAGAAGAAGGCACTTTACGAGACGTCTCATTTGGCGCCAAAAAAACTCTCTCGAATATTTACGAAGCTCTGTGAATACCATTTTTGCTTTTCACGAGAAAGTCGGTGCTTAACTAACACGTTAAGCGGTAACGAAGCTTTGTGAATGGGGCCCCTGGTCTATTATGTCTTCACAACTTTTTGGAACCAAAGTTCGGCTTTTTATTTCTGAGAAGAACCATGCTAAATGTTGGGGTAATGCTCTTGCAATCGCCTCTCACCACTTTTGATTTAAATCAAAAACTCTCTTGTGTTTTAGATCAAGTTTTCTGATTAGACAAGCTAAAGAAAAAATTGACAGTTTGACTAAATCAGGGAAGTCTTACCAAGATGTATGGAATATAACATCTGTTGAACTTGTCAACGTGGCAAGGGTAATTATAAGTTTTTCATAGTCCTGTTTCAAGATATAAAATTACTGAATACATTTCAATATTCAAAAACAATTACTGCTGAAAGTGATGTAAATATCCATAAAACATGATTATTAAAGACGAGGTAAACATCACTTATATTGTTTTTGAATTAGCGGAGTTTGTCAATCAGATCCATATGGAGGATGATTGTCCAAACTTCATTTTCATGGAGTAGACTTTTTAGGAAAAAATTATTTTGAAATATTCACAGAGTTTCAAATGCTATTTTTTTTGTCGACAGGCACATTTGGAGTACTACATCTTTTCCAGTTTTCTGCAAGTTATTCAGAACATGAATGCTTCTGCGGATACAAAGGGAAAAATGGGAGAATTGTGTTCATTGTTTGGGCTTCATACCATCAATGAGAATATGGCAGATTTATTGAGGGTCTCTCTCAAGTGTATAGTATTTTTAATGAGTAGTCTATAACAGGGCCTAAAATGAGGTTTTCTCTTTTTAAATGACTTTTATACTTTTAAAATTTATTTTATAATTTGCACCTGACTATATATATATGGAACGAACTGTAACGTCATAATAAACAATGCGAATAGCGCAATCTTGATTAGCCAATAATCATTAGTCAGCCAACGAAGTGTGCGTTCAAGGTATTTTTGGTAAAAATAGTAGTATAGTAGTCCTGGTCTATAACTACCATACTAACTTGGATGAAATGGCAAGATTTCCATATTTATTTTAGAAAGAGTTAATATGGCAGCTTAATTCATGGTTTAATGCCATTAATCATGTATGGTATATGACGGCTAACCAGTTAATATTCCATATGGCTGGGTATGGTTGGCAGTGAGCCACAATCAACTTTCAAAATTATGTGTCTGGTTCATTGATTACTAGTGTTATGGGGAGAAGCAAGCTTGCTAGAGCACTAATACTTTCAGGTGATCTATACCAAATTTTCAAAGTTTATATGATTCAACGTGTGGATAAAATAAAGTAGAACAAAACTTCCGAACTCCACATAGAAGATTTGAATATATTTAGGTTCCCTATCAAATTGGCCGACCATTAATTTCACTGTGAGATATCATTGCCGTGGCTGTTTAGGTTGGTACATATATCTGGCATGCACAGGTCCAAGCCTGGTCGATTGACTGATGTGAATTGGGGGGGAACTGGCTATGATGACCTTATCGCTCCCTCCAGTCTATACCGAATTGACTTGCATATTTTTATATATTTTACTGTACCATTGCTTGTTTCCTGGTTGAGGAAATAATAAATATCTCTCGTTCTCTCTCTGTCACAGTCTGTAGAGGTTATTTTAAAACAGCAGATTAATAAATTTGTTTTCTGTAAATTCATGATGTTATTTTTATCGCAGGATAAATACCTGAGTGCCAAGCAAGCAAGATTGGCAACAGAAGCAGAACTGTCATCACTGTCTCGAATTCGTAAGTATGCTCTTGGCCTTGTGGACGCATTCGATTTCACAGACAAAACATTAATGACATGTATCGGCACTTATGATGGGAATGCTTATGAAAGATTATATGAGAATGCTAAGCGAGCACCAAGGAACAAAACTGAGGTAATAATATATAGAGTAGTTATGTGTAAATAGCATTCAAAGGTTATATGGGTCTGCGCTTACCACAGCATTATATTCCATTGTTCTTTCCATTTTAAGATTTACAGCAAATAAATTTTGTTGTATCTTGAAATATTATTTTCTTTTATGGTATACTTAATATTTCTATGGTTTGGTTTCTGTATTTACAGCAAATAAATTTTGTTGGATCTTGAAATATTATTTTCCTTTATGGTATACCTAATATTTCTATGGTTTGGTTTCTGTCAGCCATTAAAACAAATCCGTGGGGAATGCTGCAAACATGACTAAGAATTGTGAGTTTAGTCTCAAGTGGGGCGTTGATTTTTTTGTTGTGCAGTGGGATCCGTAGTTCAAATTTAGTCCAACACTGCATATGTAGATAATATATGGCATGGTTCGTGAATTTGTAAGTTCAGGTAAAACATGACCTCTTCAAAATACATTTGTATTATCTTGTTCATGAAGCTTTTTAGAATATTTTGCATAACTTTTTTCACACCTCTTTTGTCAATATTGCTAATTAAAACTTGTCTTGTTTCAGGTAAATGAGGGTTTCTACAATCAGTTGCGGCCCTATTTATTGAAAGGCAGAGATATTCTGGAGGGAACAAAATCAAAACTATAAAACGTACATATAAAAATTGTGTTCATGTTTTTTTGTAATTCATGTTAAATTTGTGCAGCATTAGTGTCATTTCAATTTATTTTTATATAATTATAATATCTGCCTCATTCAGCTGAACAACAACCAAGTTCTAAATGCTGTCATTTGGTTCTTTTTTTTAATTTATTCTATGCAATAATGGAATATGGTAGAAATATAATTGAAAGACATTTTTAGATGTTCTATCAGTTTATATATATTAATTTATCACTGAGCAATGAGTATGATTACTAACTTTCTTTCATAAATTTGATGACTGTCTGATTTTATTGTCAAATTCAACTCACACTCTTGCGACAACTTATGTTATTTTACCCTAATCATGACTAATAAAAAATTTCTGAATTCTATTGAGTTACTTGTGGTATCAGAGATAGTATCAGATTTATGTAGGATAAGGCCATCTTGTGCTAGGAAATGAAGTGCGGATACCCGAAACGTTGTACTTGAAAGTGTTACATTTGTGTAGAGCGGGCCAGCGGGGGTCGGCAACCTACGGCATCCGGCCCGCGACGCTTCACTGAATAACCCCTTCAGTCACGCACATATATCCAATTCAGAAAAAAATTATTTTTTATTACAAATTGACTCATTTTTGGTCATCTTTGACAAAAATATTAAAAAAAAAATTTTTCTCCCCCCCATATGCAAATTAGGGGATGTGTACAAATGTACACTTTGTGTCAAAGTCAAGAAAAAGTTGCTGAAAATTGAAAGAAATCAACAAATGAAAATTTTTAAAAAAACATCGAGTTAATTTGCAATCGTCTTAAAATTGTCTTTTGTTGCACAAAAGTTGTGCAAACGACCAAAATAAATGATATCTTGATTGAAAAATCAAGTTTCTAGAGCACAGATCTGTTAAGATTTTTTTCAAATTTTTTCTTTTTAAAAGTTCACTTGCTATGAAAACTCAAAAAGCAATTCTTCTCTTTTGTGAGGCACAAGAAGACGTTGCACTTGTTGCATTTAACTCTACTTCTTCCATTGCAACCCTCGTATTTGCATCTCTGGCCTAATCCATTGATGCAAGATGGAAAATGCATAAAACCATCATATCTAACATCTCCAACAGGTCGTTCTGATGATTTGCGCCTCTTAGCCAAATGTGGCACTTGTCTTTCTGTTTGAACTTGTTGTGAAGTAGAACGCGGTCTTCCGACAGTGGGACTCTTCACCAATGCCGTGGTAAACACGTTAGCTTTGAGCAAAGCAAATGCAACCTCGCTTCTGTATTCCAGTAAGTCCATGATGCGTGACCTTGGAGTTCCATTTGCTCGTTCAATATCACGATATTCTAGCCACGAGTTCGCTAGCGCAAAATCCATGAAGTGGAAAATTACTCTAACTGGCCACTTCTTTGTTTTAGCTTTGGTCCTGTACAGCGAAATGAGGAAATCTAGTTTATCGACTCCTCCCATATTATCGTTGTACACCTGAACACATTTTGGCCTTTCTACCATGATGTGTTCTTTTGTGCTGGCTCTCCACCGTCGCACCTGATCCTTTTCGTCAACGCCAGCGAAGCTTGAAGCAAGTGTTACAGCGCCATTATCCATCCAACGGACTACACAAATATCACCTTTGTCTGATACCTTGTAATTGATTGCACCTCTTCCTTTCTTCTTGAGGTCTTTTTCAGATTTTAGTTCACACCCTATCAGTCGATTGCTTTTAACAACTCCAAGTGAATGAATGCCTCTTGATTTTAATTCTCTTATCAGTGGAATTCCGGTGAAATAATTGTCAAAACAAATTTTGTAGTTCTTTTGTTTTGGTATGGTCTCCACCAAGCGTAGAACCACAGATGCACCAAGACCAAGATGCTTAGTTTCATCCGGAATTCCTGTGCCGGCACCTTGATAAATTTCAAAATCGACTGCTCGCCCAGATTTACCACAAATAACAAAATTCTTGATACCAACAGGATTGGGTTTACCTTTGACGAATTGTTTAGCAGGTACTCTACCAGTGAAAGGAATCATTTGCTCATCAACCGCATTGAATTCCTCACGAGGCAACTGGATGCAACGATTTCGAACTGCATTAATAACTGGCTTCACCTTCCAAAACTTACAATTTTCTCCAGTAGGAGGTTGTCTAGCCGCATTCACGTGTAAGCTATTACGAAGCAGGAAGTATCTATTAACGGGCATGGATTCAGCAATCTTGTCAACACGATTTACTTTTTGCCAATACATCCGAAGTCGTGGGAAACCCAAGTTAGCCATCACAATCGACGCCCCAAAAAAGCAACATATTTCGACTGAATTGGTACCAAGAATTCTGCCCTTTGCTTGCAAGTGATAAATATTTGTTTGATCCGCAAAAAGTTGAAATAGTTCTGGTTGGAAGTAGTTGAAAAAATAGTTTGCAGGTGTATCTAGAGGATCAGCAGCAATTGGCCTTTCTTGCCAGGTCAGAAATCCAGGCTGAAATGGATTTCTATCTGGCGAATGCCACTTTATTTTGAACTTTTTCTCCTGTTGCTTACTACTGTTTACAGCATCAGCTGGCTCCTCACTTTCTTCCACGTCTTCATTGCTGGTCGAAACTACCAGTCTGTTATTGATACTGTAGGAATTTGAATCGAATTCTTCTTCCATATCATCTTCGGATCCAGAAAGGTCAATGTCAGACTCATCTAGTCGATCTAACACCTCTTCTGCATTCAATATCTCCTGCCTCACTAAAACAAAACATATTTCATTGCCAGGGTTGGTATAACACTTGCTACTTTACAGCCTGGAATAACATTTTAGCTTCAGTACTATTAAAGTATACCTTTAAAATTAAAGCTTTTACTATTGCTATATACGCTTATTATCTCCCAATCACTGTTCTTTAAAACTGAGACCTTGATTTACATTACCCTAAGCTGTACTGCACTACCATAAAAATACCAAGTTAGGCTACAGTTCAGCAGTTTGGGATAATTTTAACATGAAATTTTCTGCTATAATCAATATAATAGAGAGACTTCCGATAACAGAACTTTCAATAACACTGCAACACATGATTGTGGACTTTCCTGGTAAAATTTAAGGCCCTAAAAACATATAAAACAAAGTGATTTATTTCATGAAAGTCTGTGCTTTTTACTCATGTTAGTCACGAAAGGTACAATTGTACACACCAATTTTTAAAAAATTCTACCATCTACATATTAGCTCAACCGAAACCAAAAACTGGATAAACGTCACCCCAGGTAGTCTTAATTGCAGTCTAAACCTAATTTATTGGCTCTACACACAAGAAAATGGTAAAAAAATTACACCAACTTACCGCTTGTTGAGCATGCTTCAGCCATCGCAATTTCCACGCTGCCAGACGATTCACCACTAGGGGGAGACATAAAACCAAACTCATAGCGCGATAGAACCGAGAAAGCTCAATTGAACACACCGTGACTAATTTCGGTTAGGTGTATTACGTGTGCTATAGCGACCGCGGAAAGTCGCTGGTACAATTGTACACGCCGTGACCGAAGGGGATAATAGCTGAACTAGAACAAATTATAGATGTTTTGTCGATTATATTCTTTACGCAAAAGAATTCACGTGTAGACTAAATTCTATTCTAATGTGACAAGTATATATTTCACAATTACTCGTTTAATGAGCCTATATTTTAATTATAATTTAGACAAATGGCAACAAAACGTAGAAAAGTTGATGCTAAGTGCAAATGGTTTGATGGCGCAAAAAATATTCAAATGGTCAGTCTTCACGCGCTGCTTAAAATTTAACTTCTGATCTGTGTGATCAAATGTGATTCATTAGATTTTTAACTTTAAAAGATATGTGCGGCCCGCCAATGACTTGCAACCTTTAATTTTGGCCCGCGAGCGACAAAAGGTTGCCGACCCTTGGTGCGAGAATAGTAGACCAAATGATTATCAGCAAGCAACTTTAGCCCCCATCCAGGAAATTGTTACTTACATTTGCTGAGAGGGAATGCTTATAATTCAATTTTACCCAGAATAGGAGACCAAATGATTATCAGCAAGCAGTCTCCCCATCCACTCTGAAAGTGTATTTTAAGAAAAATCGCTACACAGAAACTGGTTTTGAAAGTCAATTGTAATGGTTGGATAAAGCAGTGTAGGAATAATTCGTCCCCTCCCAGTGTTATAGTGTTTGTAAAATAAGCTCATCACTGTCGAGACTTGGTTCAGCTTGAGTAAAAATGCTTTTCGGACAACTTTATTCTGTAGGTATTATTCAGCCTCTAGATCTGGCATGTGAAATACTGGCTCCGAATCTCCGCGATACATGTTCACACTGGACCATGGGGACTACTGGGAGTTTCTAGCTGCCATTATTGTAGATGGCTGATGAGAAGCTCTAGCTAGATCAAGGGTCGGCAACCTACGGCCCGCGAAGTAAAACAACCTGGCCCGCCATGCCCCACTAAATTCTAGCGACAAAGCGGCTGATTTATATATATCAAAAGTATCATATTGAAGAAAACTTTATTCAAATTTGACAAACCATGCGAACAAAATTCACATTGATGTTTCGGAGTACATATGTGTGGGAACAATTATTTCCAAAAATAGACATTACAAAGAACAACGGAGAACTCGGATTAGTGATGCCCATTTAGAAAACGTTTTACTCTTGGCTTCATCCATCATACCTCCTGATGTCGAAAAGCTATTGAGTGTGATGCAACAAAAAAGTGTCACATTAAATGTCATTTGTAAATTTTTTTCTTTTAGTAAGACGAAGTTGAGTTCACGAGTGGTCATGGTGTTCCTCTCAACTTCAACTTCTGCTCCGTGTGAAAAAGTTGCGATTCGTCAGTCTTTAACCTTCCAAAAATACGTGCGGCCCGCCAAGTCTGCAATTGCAACCCTTAATTTTGGCCTGCGAGCGACAGAAGGTTGCCGACACCGGCTCTAGATCTCTAAGGAAATACTTCTTGATATTGTACATGCTGAACTTAGATCAGAATTATATGATTTGAATAAATGATGAGACATTTACTCCAGGTACAATTACATAATTAAAATAAATGGAACATAAAAAATAGATATTTTGGGGGCAATTTCATTAAAAATGAAGAGCCCACAGAGCGTATGTACGGTACATGTCTGGGTATTCAGTATTCATTCGTTTTTGTGTATGACCTTACTACCCAACGCAAGCTATCTTGAAGATTTTAGTCGATCGTGGTTGAAATCGGGTTGGCCACCCCTGCCATATAAAATAAGATCAAGAACTGGAGATAAAATGGTACATGTACATTGCATTGTAATATCGTTTATCAGAATACGATTTAGATTATTCTATAGCGAGTAAAGTCCATGAAATGATTTGGATCATCTAATACAACATGGATTGTTCCCATAACTGGGGTTTGGAAGAATAAAATGCCATTGAACTTAGAATAATCTAACATAATTCGTTAAACTACTATAAAAATTGCAGCAAATTCATTGTTCTTTCAAATAGTTAGTTATATATCACATTCCCTTACGGCCACAATGAGATGAAATTGAATATAGTTGAATAGGCTATTAAAAACAAGGAGTGTGCTTCGATCCCTTCTGCTATCTGAGATACCAATATAAAAACTGGAAACGAGCATGCCATTGAGGGATTTCAGTCAGTTTAATATTCATATTATAAATGAAAAAACTTCTAAAATTCATTTGAAAGTCAATATTTTAAATCAAATAATCAGCGAAATGATTCTGATGATAAAATGCCCTTTGCTTTTCACTATCTAAAGGATCATATTATGCTTTATCATACTAATTATAACCAATGATTTGCACAAAAAATGATAATTGATTCAGGCGTCTGTTGGCCGTCTGAGAAAAGCATAAACTTGGCAAGTTCTTGTGTTAGGTTCAAGCACAATATCTACAGTTGAAAATACTTTAATTTTTTGTGTGATCGTCTCATTATACTTCGGCAACTTCAGCTTCCCTTTCTTTTTAAGTGCCTTTTCATCATTTGTTAGTTTGTATTGCTCTGATTTAACACATGGCCACAGTAACTCGATCTCAGTGTTAAGTTTTATTAATTTTGATCCAACAATAGGCATGGCGTCCAAATAAATTCGATGCACTTGTCCATATTTGATTGAAAGCACATCGAAAGAGTGATCATAAACATACATTACAACAGCCTCAGCTTCAAGTGATCCAATACCTTTCACAAGAGCGTAGAAGAACAATTGAGTACTCAAGTCTTGCACTCTCTTGGCCTCACTTTTGCGGACATTGCAAGCATCAGCTTGTTTCTGCAGCATAAAGAATAATTCATTACAAATACAAATTAAATTCAGTATTTAAATTATAATTAACAACCTAAAAAAATCATGACAACCAAATTACATGCTCTAGCCAACATTTTTCTGTTATTCAGTAAATAAACAAATGATTTTCTGGAGAATCAATTTTTATCGTTAAATTCCAACTTTCATAAATTTGAATAGTTGCTAATTCCACTGACGCAAGAGCGTGTTTTGTCAAGATTTAGCATAGAAGATACGACAAGGATTTAAATATCTACTCATTAACTACTAATTTTCTTGTATTCATTTATAGCAAGTTTGAGCAGACACCGATAGCCATAAATAGAATATTTGCATTTGCATATCCAAATTGTTACATTGGCACTTGCCTGGAGATCCTGGGAAGACATACTTGCAAGCTCTATATCTCCGGTATCACCAAGTGCTGCAGAAAGTTGTCGATGAACAATGACATCAGCATATCTAAGTGAATGATAAGTATAAAAATTAGAGAAAAGTTACAGAGAAATAATAAACCAAATTTTAAAGTTTTACCTTCTGATAGGTGATGTAAAGTGGGTATACAGCGGTACATTCAAAGCATAATGTCGAAATTTTTCCTCGTCATCGACACAGCCAGTGCAAAAATAAATTGCTAATTCTTGTGGTTTGATAGCAAGCATTTGGAGTCCTAAGATACAATGATCTGCCAATTCGTCACTTTCAGCTGCAGCTCTCAGTGAATCCGCAAGGGCTTTTGAAGAAGACACATCGAGTTTCCATCCATTTTCACTACAATATGTTGCAATGTTTTTTAACATATCATCTTTGGGTTCAGGATGACACCTCAAAAATGCATGATCCGGGAGAGAATTTCGTAGCTTTGTTGCAACAGCCATATTGGCAAGAAGCATGAACTCTTCAATGAGCGCATTACTGGCTTTGTATTCATATGTAAAACATGAATTTGGCATTCCAGTTTCCTTATCAAGAGTATAAGAAAGTTTAATCTGATCAAGCCTTAGGGCACCATCATCAAATCTTTGACTTCGGAGCGACTGACTTATTTTATGTAAATCAAGGACCTTGGTTCTTATCTCTTTCAAACTATAGCTTGCACTTATCTCAGGAAATTCCTTTTCATCAAATTCCTTCTCTGGATTTTCAATGAAGGACTGCGCATGCTCATAACTCATTTTAATGCAAGAATGAATCACAGTCTTCCCGAACCATTCGTCAACAATTTTCCCATCACTTGTCATTTTCCATATTACTGAGAAAGTTAATCGATCTTTTCCTGGATTCAAACTGCACAACTCTTCACATAAGAGAGTAGGCAACATAGGTATAACTCTTTGCACCAAGTATACGCTCGTACATCGTTTGGCTGCAATGTCATCAACCTCTGTTCTGGGCTTTACAAAATGACTAACATCAGCAATGTGAACACCAACTTCATACAAATCGTCACCAATCTTTTTGCAATGCAATGCATCATCTAAATCCTTGGCAGTGGCAGGATCAATGGTGAATATACATTCTTTTGTTAAGTCTCTTCTATTTGAATATTCTTGCTGTGGAACTTTCCAAGGTAAATCCACCGGTAACGAATCATTCACAGTTTGTGGAAATGCTGAATGATCCACACCATGTTCAAGTAAAATACGAGTTGTTTCCGGTTCAATTTCTCCTCGATCTCCAATATATTTTGATAATTCACCTTGTGCAAACATGTCATTGTCATCCCATTTCACTATTGAAGCCATAAAAAGTTTATCAGCAAAATCGCCGCCCCGCTTGAGAAATTCAGGTGGACATTGGTCAATAGGAATTAAAATACGTGGAACACAATGATCTACTGGAGTGAATAATACTTTATCATTCCTAATTTCTTTCAAAAATCCGACACAAACACGGCCGTGCCTTTTTTCCAAAATTCCCACTACATCCCCGGTTTTTGTCTTTTTTCCACTGTTTTTATTTTGAACAGGTTTATCACTAGATACTGACAGATTACTCATGAACTCTGAAACCACTTCAACGCCTTTATCACCCTTGACATTCAACCATTTATCCGGAGAACGAAGTTTAACCGCAACAACATCACCTGATAAAGCCCGATTGCGGGCAACAACAGAATCAAGTAAAATGTCTGGGTTTTTTCCATCACTAATGTAGGACGTAAAATATTGTCTTGGATTCATTTTTAATGAACCAGAAATAAGGGAACCATCTTCCAAGCCATTATTTATGCGATCTTCATCCCAGTAAGGTTCATACCTTTCAATTACTTTGTGCATCATATCAGGAACAACAGTGTGAACTCCTTTCGGTTTATTTTCTTTCAGATTTTTCCAAATATTTTCTGCTTGCTCGGCGGTTGACATTTCAACAGTGGACATAACATTATTTGACAAAATTTTGCGCCGCATTGCGATAATCTGTCCGCCCAAAGGCTGCAAGATTGTTTTGATGTCAGTTAATGACAAAGCTTCATCCTGGTGGAAAAACAATACACATCTATGATTGTTGCTGGGCCAAATATTAGATTTAGGGGTTGTGTGCATGTTTCTTGATTGTTGTGCGTGGCTTTGCCTTCCTTGTGCTTCATCTTTATTGGAGTTTTTTCTATTTCTATAACCAGATTGTGGGCGTCTCTTCGTGTTGTTTTGTTTTTTACTTGCATCACTCATTATTACAGCCGATATCAATCGTTGATTAACCAGAGGTAAACGCTGAACAAGCTTTGAAAAAAGCATGAACTGAAATTTTCGAAATTGTTTAAATCTGTTCCAAATTCCCTGATATCCTCCGTAACTTAAATAAGTCTACCCTATATTATTCAATCCTATCTATATAAAATAAACAAAAAAACATAACAATTTGATCAGCAGAAATTCTCAGCACAAAATAGTTTTCCAACTGTAACTGTTTTAATCAAATTCACAAAATACATTTGGACATTGAAATACAAACAAATAAAAATTTTATGAACAATTAAAACCCGAATTAATGATCTTGTACAAAAAGAACATAAGCAAACATTTAATTAATAAAGCCTCAGATGGGAGTCCTTAGAATATGGATGTCAAATAATACAGGCCATGTCACTAAATAGAGTTGAAATATTTTGGTTAAAAAGTAACATGTACCACAAAAGCCTAATTTAAACCTGAATTACAAGAGCTATACTCAATCCAATACGTATTTTGTTTAAAATCTGAACATGAACAGACAAATAGAGTCACCAAATTAATATTGATGTAGTGCACTGTTAATATTCACCAATGAATGCCTGCTAATTGTATCCCAATAATAATTAAATTCCTTTTTTAAACAAAACGAAGAATTATTTTAAAAACACACAAAATAATTAAAACTTAAACAATAAAATCAGCCAAACTGCGGCTACTTTGATTGAATGAAATTCAATTCCATCATAATGACAATATTTAAATGGAAAGCACTAGAAAAATTACAACAAAGAAATCCAGAAAATTAAAACAAATTGCTGCTGACTTAAGAAAACTATAAGTGTTTATTAAACAATATGGGCAATTGCTGAAAATCTTGTTAACAGATTGAAATCAAATAATCAATTTATCATGCCCATCTCTAACAACCAGTGGAATAAATTAACAGTTCTGTAACTTTGACGCAGGTTGAAACCATCTAAAACACTTGTAAAAAAGATCTAGAAACCATAACATAACGAAAACTGATAAATTTATCAAATCATGCTTTGTTATTTAAACATTGTCATAATTGCATTTATTAAAATATGGCATGAAACAACTGCTTTAGTGTCGATTATTATAAAAATGTGAGTCAAAAGTTATGTACTATTCAAATTGATTAAAAATATTCCCACATGTTTATTTAACTTTACGGTTTCTTGAGGGCCTCCTGGAATCCGATGTTTCTTCTGACAATACAACAACTAAATTCTTTTTGGATTTGGAGTCGGCAATGCCATTTACAGTTAATTTCTTTGTTTCTGAACTTTTTTGTACTTTTGTTGGTGTACGCTTAGTGGATCTCAGGTAATCAAACATCTTACTACCAGCAGATGCTCGTTTTGGCCTAGGGGAGTCTGTCACCGATGAATTTGGAGATGATAACATCGATGAATCCTCTGATGGTGTAGAAAGTGTTTTTTGAGATGGAGACGAAACCTCCAGTGACTGCTCTACGATAGGCTGGTTCTCCTTAGACTTAGTAGATTTTTGATCTTTTTTAGGTGTTTTTCTGGCTTGCATCAACTTAGTCTTTTTTGTTGCAAGGCTTTCTTCATCTGAACTTAAATAATCTTCATCTTGATGTTTTACTTTTCTCTTTGACCCTCTTCTTTGTGAATCACTGGAAGACGTCGTCAAAGATTTACTTGTTGAACTTGATGAATGTTGTACCGCATTCCTATTTTTTGTTGGGCTAGTTACAGCAACTTTAGTAACAGCAACAATTTTAAGAGGCACTTTTGCTGATTTTTTAGCTGCATTCGATTTACTTTTACTTTCACCAGATGTTGCTTTACGTGTTGGAACAAGCTTGGCCTCGATCTGAAATGCTTCTGGAAGGTAATTGGTTGGATTTTCAGAAGACGTTAGCTTTGTGTACAATCGAGCCGGTAGAAATTTTTTCATTGCATCATCTGGAGGTTCAACGATACCAATAGCATATTGTGCCGATTTTATCAAAACAGACTGCAAGACAAGATCACATACTCGATACATTGTTTTGTTTCGAAAAGTATTGTCAGAATCATCCTGAAATTTTGTACGTTTGACCAATTCAGCCAAACGCTTTATGAAACCGAAACTTTCTGGGTTGTCTCTGGTTAGCAGTGGTTCTAACATGAAATTGAGAGATTCTTTAAGTCTGGAAAGAATGGGTTTAGGGATTTCCTCTTTCAGTGGAATGTCGGGATCATTGGCGAGCAAATGTATAGTGAATGACAGAACATATTCAGGCATAACATAGTGCATGTAGTTAGAAGTCATTGAACTCCGTCTGCTGACATCCCGATATCTTTTCACCAGCTGAATATACAATGCTGTACCATGATCTCTGTGTTCCTTCACTTTTTCTTGAGAAATCACACAAAATAATGACATAAAAGATATATGTATTTGGAACTTGAACAATGCTTGATGAAGTTTAGCCAAAAACTGTTGGCGTACTTCACGCAGATCATCCATTAGAAGAATGGCAAGTTCTAAAAACACAGAAGGTGAAATCAAATCTTTATAGCCATCACATCTAGCAATCCGTAAGACACAAAACGCTGCCTTCAGCCTCAAATGCGCCATATCAGGTTTGGATATTTGTCCGCATTTCATGAGATCCCCATCATTGTGCATCATATGTTGTAGAAGTCTCAATGTTGAGCCACAGCAATCTAATTCATTTGAATTTAATCCACACAACCACCGTACCATGCATTTCATTGCTACAAGTTTAGTTGCAGTTTCATCACTAATCTCAGATTTTTCCAGCCATTTCAATTCTTTTTTCTTTCTACTTGATTTTGCTTTAGTTTTCATGATGATCTTCTTCACAACTACTGTAGCAATGAAGCCTTTCAGTTCTTTCCCAGCTTGTTTTGGCAAACACTCTGCAATACACCCTAAAGTTGTTAGCAATGTTCGTAAATTCAGGCCGTGTGCACTATCTTCACTCGCCATCTCTTTGCATTGTTGAAATACCTGCATAAGAGGAGCTTCTCGTACAGATGTCATTAAATTAATGCAGCGAACAGCATATTTTGCTTGTTTTGGTGTGCCTGTTTTAGCAATTGCTTTGAGTTCAGGCAGCAAGATAGTTCTTATTGTGGTAAATTTTTCTTCAATGATAGGGCAAGTATTCAAAAGAACAAGCAGTGCTTTCTCAACAGCAAACTCATCTTTTCCTCTCAGCATTGACAGAAAAATCTCCAAGCATTCACTGTCCGCAAATAAGTTTGGATCATGCTTCGCTAATACATGAAGCAGATCTACTCCTCTTTCTTTTACTGAATAACTTTCAAAGTTCTCAATGTCAGAAATTCCATCTAGCAAATCTCGAGCAAGTTTTGTCAATGTCAGCATTGAGGGTGCATCAATTAGAACTGTCACAAGAACAACTCTTTCGAGTAGCTGCTGCACAGTCCCGCGTACCACCTTTGTAACACCATCTGTGTCAAGTTTTTTTAAAATATCTCGGACAGCAAGTGCGACCTTTTGACAAGTATATTGCTCTGCAGTAATATACTCCAGCCACTGTCGAATCTTAGCATCATCGAGAACAATTGCTACAAATTTCTTTATATGTTCACGAGCCTGCATTGGTGACTGCAAATGGGAAGATAATGTTAATATTTTTGGCCACAATTTCTTGTTCCTTTGTTCACTATCCTTTAAAGAAAGAGAATTTAAAATGTCTTTTAGTGCTTCTTTCAAGATTTTCTGCTTTTTGAACATTTCCACAAGCGCTTTGACAGCATGATTGTCTGCCGTGCAGTACAACTGAAATAGTTGTTTCATTCTCTCTTCGTCAGGCAAACTATATTGCACAAGACTGCTCACTAAAATGCGTTCTAACAATATGCAATCATCCAGATTTTGGGTGTAATACACACGAAGAAGCTGACTTCTGAAAATTCCCAACTTCCTTTGGTATATCATAGGTGATTTCGTACTGGCAGAAAACTTTTTGTAGATATCGGCAACAGCTCTGATCGCAGTTTCACGAACTTTGTGTTTTTTGTCAAGCAATCTTTCTCTGAGGAAATCCAGCAATTCATCAGTTACTAATCTAAGATCGTTCATAGCGATTCCTCGGATCGTAGTGACAACTGCAATTCTTACACCTTCTTCTGTGTCATGCCTTCTTAGTTTCAATAATTCCACCAATTTAGATAAAACCTCTCTCCCCTTTGCATCATCAGTACCGTGATTAATGACCATATCTGAGCAAAAGTTAACACACACTGCCCTGATTTGTGGATCTATGTCATTGAATCTTAAGAGGAAACTGTTCCAGAGTGCAGTATGCTGCGAAGAAAGGCTCGAGTCCTTTTCTGAAAACATTCTGCTTAGTAATCGAACAACTTGAAGTCTTTCAGGAACATTATCGGTTCTGAGTTTCATCTCAATCTGAGGAATTGTGTTGACAAGAAGAGTAGGAGCAATTTTATACAACTCTGTTATTAGTTGCGGCCAACTCCTAGATAAACGATTTGAATCCTGGTGATCACCTAATAGGATATTTTGAAAGAATAGCATGATCACTCCTTCAACATTGTGAGCAGTCTTCCTCAGTAGTTCACGAGCAAGTTCATATGCTGAGGGATTCATTTTTTTAGTTTTCTCCAAAAGACACTCAAAAACATTGTCGAACAATCTTTGTGATACAGATCCACTTTCAGAAACTATGCAAGTCATTATATCGAGCATGTGTGCTTTCAGTTGGTCATCATGTGAGGAATTAACTATGCTAAAGAAAATTTTGAAAAGTCCACAAAACACTTCATCCGCTGATTCATTGTCAAGTTCCAAGCAACTGTTATAGGATTTCACAGTTGCCACATTTTCCAATATATGGTATGCTTTAGAAAACAAGGTAGATTTAACATCTCGTAAGAGACTCAATTGTTCATTTAAAAACAAAAAAATATCTTTCAATTTGTCTCCTGGAAATGGATTTTCTGGGGCATGCAAGCGAAAAATATCAGCAAAAATACAACCTAAATGAATCCTTGCATTGGCATCAGTTATTTCATGAACGAGATCACTCTCTGATATGTATCGACAAAAAGGTAAATAGATCTTCTTTTCTTCATCTTGATCCTGTTCCAACTGGGAGAAAAACTTGCAACATCGTTTCAACGACTTCAAAATCTCAGAAGGGTTCATATCAGCAGAAATAGATTTGGAGCCAGGAGGAAACCGAATTCCTGATAACTCCATCTTATCAAACAGTTAATTCACCAGGTCTTCCAGTTAAAAAGCTTTTTTGAACTAGGATAATTCTGTATGAGAGTATGTAAAGAACATTAATCATCCTGTAACATTGGTATCACAATATCACCACCCCAAAGTCAGTACGGTACACTTTCCAGATCGACAGACATTGGTTCATTTCAGGGCATCCCAATTTGCCGATTACCAAACACAGGAAGTCTGGACATTGTTTTTCCTCAAATCTGCAAGAATACTGTAAAATGAAGTTGCGCAAAAAACTAAATCGTTGAATTTGGCAGTTAAAAAATAATCCAATTTCCCCCAAAAAAGTTTTTTACCGTGGCATTTGAGAGTTTTTAGCAAAAACTCACTCAACGGCCATGATTAATTTAGATTATTATCAAGTCAAGCATGGCGCGATATGATGCCTCTGCGATGCCAGCCAGACGCCCCTCGTTTGTGAGACACATGGAGTGTTTGTTTTATCGAACCATACAGAGGGACATTCTAAGAATTTGGAAAGTGTGTCCTACTGAAAGTGTGTGGAAGTACAGTATGGCACAGTTCTCTGATTCCAAAAATAGCCCCCTCATTGATAGATATCTATGAAAATATTTGCAAACCCGTCGTTCACGAGCTAGTCTTGGTCTCCATACCGGCAAATCAGAACGGTGCTAAAGACAGTAAAAGGAAGCGCAATCAAAAATCCAATTTACAAGAGAAAAAAAAAATTTACTGTAGCATTCGAGTTTTTAGAAAAAAATACTGCAATTTTGGTCATGTGAAGGCTGACGAATATTGCAATTAATTTGGATTCATGAACCAATGCTTATACGTTTTAAATGTAAATATGATGAAAACTAAGAAAACTTTTTTTGCAGAGGCGTCCACATCACTCAACTCTTTAGCACAAATTCTTCTGATCTATGCATCTAAAAGTGTAAAATTTAAACTTGAATAAAATGCCATTTTCATTCAACCACCTTCCGAGTTCAGTCTCTCTGCAGTCCTGCAGTCAAAAGACTGAAGAAGTGTGTGTTTTAAATTCAATTTTTGACATTAGTCAGCTATTTGTTTCGTTGACAATTTTGCAGACAAATTTCGAAAAAAATACTACTTTTCAAGTGTTTAGTGGTGTCATCAGGTGATTTAATTGTACCGAATTAAAAAACCGGTGTTTTATTGTATTGAATATGATTATAGGCCTACTATATCATTGATGGTATTTTTTAAAATGTGTCAAAATGTTTGCCATAACTTGCCATATTACTAGTAGTTTTAGATAATAGTCTAATTGTCGTCTGTTAGTGACATTTATCAGTATTGCATATGACGCACACAAAACCAAATGCAAAATGTGGTTGAATTGTTTTTCTCATTTTGACATGATTTTACCGGTACCATCCCTACAGTAGCAAATACTGGCACCGTACACTAGTGTCGATACAGTAGTACTGGGATTGATGGAATAGAACATGCGCCAATGCCTACCGGTACCGGTAACTGAACAGTGAACTTCACGGTGACTCTCCAATTTCTACATTTGGCGTTTTCAGAAACGTAACCAGAATTTGCCGCGCAGCGCCACACGTCGTTATCAGTGCAAATGGTCAGTGTGAATCTGGCGCAAAACTAGCAAACATTTTTTATTACACCCAGAAGAATTCCACGCGTAATAAAATATTGCACTCGTGTAATCCACGTCCAAGTAGAACTGAATAACATAGTTCATGTCGAAACGCTCAACACAACATGGAAAAAACTCAACATATCACAGTAATACACAGAATGCCTAAGCGGACCTTCATATTTGCTGCGAATTACAAGCTGCGCAAGATTGGTATACTGGGAAGAGAGTAGTGGTTATAAAGTAACAGATAATTTCCTCAATGAATCGTTACAGTTGATCCATTTGCGAAATACATGAGTTAGTTAAGATCTAATTATGGAACATTTTTTTGATTTGTTCTGGTTTATGTAATTGTCCGTCCCTTTTGCTGTATTCTTTTTTTTCAAATAGGGGGCCTCGACCCACCGATACTTACCTTTTTATACTTACTTGTTGCTGGGGAGTCTTTCAGGTGAAATTTTTTTTTTTGAAACATATAAAAGATAGAGTTAACAGAACACCTGGCCTCGACGAAATTTTTTCCGCCACATATAGGAGGGTTCGCAGAAGTGCACCTTGATACACACTCACCCCCCAGTGACGAGTATTTCGTTTGGCCAGGCAGGCAGGAAATGGAAGAGAAAGAGTCAGAATGACGAAGAAAGAAAATGATGAAAAAGGCTATGAAAAAGAGAAAAAGAAAATAATAAAAAAAGTGTATAAATTAAATGGCAATGAAGTTACCAGTTAGGTGTATGTTGTGCTATAGAATAGAGGACTTGCAAAGGTCACGTGACTTTGTTTTCTGCACGGCAAAAAAACAAAAACGTCCAGCTGACACCTGTCAGTTGCAAGTCGGATTATACGTTTCCGTTTTGCTTGGCTGTTGAAAAGTGGTTGTTTCGTCTTGTGTCGTTGACTGTGCGTTTAGTATAGACAACGAAATGGAACTTCAGTTATATTCAACTGTTTTCAAAAGATCCGGAACGTCGCGCAATGTGGATATCATCTATTGGCAGGACTGCTTGGTATCAATACCAGAAGTCATCTCGCTTGTGTTTCACTGTTTGCAGACAGCACTTCCTTGATCGTGAGTTATAAGGTGCCGTTATCAATTTCTTTAAATATTCATAAGCTCCCTCATTTTTATTGAAAGCAGATAACAAACTACTGTTATTGCTATCGGTAGGCCTAGGCGTAGACATACTTGCTTGTCTACTTGCAGACTTGACTTGTGCTGTTGTGTAAGGAGTCAGTCATCAATTGCCATAAGGTATTGTTTTCATTGAGGTGTATATAACCTCAATGATTGTTTCCCTAGTTAGCAGGTAATCTATTAGTAAGTGTGAAAAGTTGAATAGATAACTAAAGTTTAACGCCAGTTCTCATGCAAAAAATAACTAGAATTCAATTGAATTCACCATCTAGGAATACGCTCGCCATCGCATCTCTGATCACCCTGGTAGTTTCACAGGTTCCAATCCTATGCAGGAATAGTTATGTGCGAGGGGATTGCAGCTCTCCTCCCACTGAGGGTGGTTCACACAACCGCTGGTCGGTTACGACATCCCTCACCATCAAGTCCATGCTTCTGAAAACAAATAACTGGCTAACTAATCCCGACACAGAATGGTAATCGTACGATGTTGCACATGCAATCCTCCACCCCAGATAAATCCTATCCTAAAATCTACTGTAATTGGTAGGCATATTTGCGTTTTAAATTGAAAGAAATCTTCATCAATGGTCAGAAGGTGTTGTCTGATTGTTTCGTTAGTTAGCAGGTAATCTATTACTCTATTAATAGGCGTGAAAATAGCAGCAGTGTTCATGAAGAAAATAACCAGAAGCTCTTAGCGACATCAATTCATTGATACACAAACTTAGTACTGTACTGTCAATTGATGATTAGTGTGTAATTTCTTTCAGGAAAAAGGAAAGATACCCATTTTCAGCTGATTATGTCCCATCAATATTTGAATTTTCGCCATCCCCTGAGAGGAAAAGAATAGTTAGAAAAAGGTGGATTTTGAAAGAAGGCAAAAGGCAGGACCATTTCAACAATTTCTGTTAATTTGTATGCGTTGCAATATCACTTTGCAGTTAGCATAAACATTTAATGTGTCTTCAGACTAGGCCTACCACACTTCAAAAGAAGCCGCCTAAACCCATTTTCACTAGAAGAACCATAATGCTGAAAAATATTTGAAAGAAATTACCCCTCAAGGCATCATATCTTCCATTTAAAAGGGCTGTGGAGGCAGATACATTTTTTACTCTAAATTATGAAATATTACTTCTAGATTACCTTATCTTTGCTCATAGATATCTTGATGTTAGTGACTCCAACTGACCAATGCATGCCACACTGGAAAATTCACACGTGTACCAATAAAATTAAGCAGTTGGAGCCTTCAGACATTGAAAACAGTCGAATCTGAGCACGATGGATTCATGTGAAACACGCAATATGCATTTATAAGCAAATGGAATCAAAACATTAGACAAATTGGTGTACTGTGCGCATTCACAAAACTTGTGTGCCTTTTGACTAAGGAAAATTTAGCATTGAAATGGTCAACCTCAATATAAAACTGCTATCTGCAGATAAAACCAATTGTTTTTTAAAAATACATTTTTGATGTGCTTTATTTTTCAAATATAATGGCACATAACTATCCCCGCATGGATTGGAACCTGTGAAACTACCAGGGTGATCAGAGGTGCGGTGGCGAGCGTATTCCTACATCAGTAGATGGCGAGTTCAATTGAATTCTGGTTATTTTTGCATGAGAACTGGCGTTAAAATTTAGTTATCTATTCAACTTTTCGCACTTACTAATAGATTACCTGCTAACTAGGGAAACAATACCTTACAGCCTTATGGCAAATGATGATTAATTCCTTACACAAGTCTGCGAGTAGGCCAAAGCCAACGACTAACATACCGGCCAAAGCCTACCAATATCAGTAGTTTGTCATCTGCTTTCCATTGAAATGACGGAGCTTATGAATATTAGAAGGAATTGATGACGGCACATTATCACTCACCATCAACGAAGTGCTGTCCATACAAATAAACGTCAATGTCATCTGAATATATATACAGCCAAATCATACATATACGGCAATTCAAGTGATGTACATCCAATGCCATATGCGTATATAGATACTCAATATATTTATACAGCAATTCAAGTAATGTACGTACCGTGTTTCCCCGAAAATAAAACCTGTGCTGAAAATAAGACCTAGCCTGAATTTTAAAAATGATTTTAGTATAAGCCCTCCCCTTAAAAAAGGACCTAGTCAATAACGCATTTTTTTTTTATCTAATCGGGTAGCAAGAAATGTATCATGATAAGGAATCTATGTATTGCAGTTATTTCGAATATATATAGTAAATTGATATCGGCTCTCATATTTTGTAGGTTTAAAAATCTCGTAATTGTCTACTTTGTAATTTTGTATTTGATAAATGAAAATATAAGACATCCCCCGAAAATAAGCCCTAGTGTATTTTTCGGAAGAAAATTGAAATAAGATCCAGTCTTATTTTCGCGGAATTAACCAATGTCATATGTTCCAGGGCTTCTCTGGAAGGGGCCTCGAAACGAATTTTAGGGGCCAAAAAGTGAACACCAAATTTACACGAAGTACTATATCTATCGTACTTTTTCAGTCTCTTCATTCGAAACACAATTATTAAAATGTGTGTAAAACAAAAATTTCACGATTCCGAGTTAATACATCTTCATACCGTGTTCCCCCAAAAATAAGACAGTGTCTTCAATGTTCTTTCGAAAATACCACTAGGGCCTATTTTGGGAGGATGTAGAGAATAACGAGATTTATTAATATACAAAATAAGAATATCGACTTCTATTTACTTATTTAATAGCACGTTTTCATTTAAAATAACTGCTATATATATAGATTATTAACCATTTAAAAAGTAAAAAAGATTTCTTGCTATCGACTAGGACTCAGTGATTCTCGAACTTCATTGTATTGTGACGCCCTCCAAAAATATTTTCAAGTTGCGACTTTCCGTGAAAATACGTGTTGATACCTTTCAATAAAAGACCTTTATTGCAATGAGTTTCATAAAAACGAACAAATAAAACCTAACCACATTCAGTGAAATCATATTTAGCAGGCCATGGTAGAAAAGCCTGCTTTATAAAAATACAAAATCGCAAAGAGGATGGGAGTGCACAATGCTTCTTGAAAAATAAAGGTAAAATAATCTTTATCTACAAAAAAAAAAGAATTTTCAGAATTAAACTTATTTATCATAATACCATCACAAAGTTTGCGACGCCCTAGCAAAATTGAAACGATGCACTTCCACTGGACTAGTTAATTAAAAAATTGCACTATCGACGAAGTCTTTTTTGAGGGGAGCGCTCATATTTAAAACATTTTTGAAATTCAAGCTTAGTCATATTTTCGGGGAAAAACGGTAAAATCATCGCGCATACCAATGCATATTCTGATTGTAAGACCCGATTTTCGCGTGCTTGCATAACAATGTCGGCTTTAATCACTAAACTAGCGATTTCCGAAGGCGATTAGCTAAGTGCGCCTCGAAACATATCATATATTTTGTTTGTTCTAAATGTTTTATTGTTTCTCATTACTGCAAATGATTGTTATATGAATCAAATTCATTTTACCGTTCTATATTGTTCACTTTCTGTAACGTTGGGGTCTATTGTTACGCAACAGAAGAAGTAAACCATACATGCAGCAATTTCGTAGGCTGCAGTTTATTCATTTGCTGAAGAAAAGTTAACCTTGATTTGCTCCAAAAGGCATGAAGTACATATTAACGATGACTAAATTGTGCTTCATTTTGAAGCAGTATATTTTTTCGTAGGTACACCATGAGTTTTTTCCCTGATAATTTGGAGCACACAAATCGGTGTAAGTTTGATCAATAAGAGTGTGAACAATTCCGGATAAGGACTAGACCGTCGGTGGCCAGACATTGTAATTCATCAGTTAGGCCTGTATACCCAAACATTGCGCCACGGCTGGACCTGCTATGCAGCAAAAAGCATTCGCACCCATTACATTGAATAATTGAGTAACCTTAATCTGAGTAGCCTAAATATGTGCTTGTTTTTGTTATTAAGTAGGCCAGGCCTACTAAAAGCTGGGAATTAGCTGTGTCAATTAAATATCAAAAATGCATATTTCGAACTGTTTAGCAATATTTATTTAAAACGAGGGCCGCGAAAAATTTCAGTATATATATCAAAAGGGGCCGCGAGCTCAAAAGTTTGGGAAGTCCTGATTCTCTAGTCCACTCTATATACATATGAAGGCATTTCAGTCAGCTGTTGTGAGGCATTAGGGCTTTATAGATTTAAACCTATTCTAGGCCTACATTTTTATGTACCACGAGCGCCAGCAATTTAATGTAATACCCAATAAACACGTGGACCCTTCCCCTGAATGATTATATCATAGTATTTGATTAAGTCTACTGTAAAATTATTGTGGCTGTATTTGTATATTGAGTTGTTTGTATACGCATGTGACTTTGACAGTATATGTAGGCCTATAATTGGTTGACTGTATATGTATATAAGTTGGCGGTATGCGTCGGAAGCTCTGGTGTGCGGCACGTTGCCAACCCTATCGCAATCACCAACTGCGAGCAAGTAAATTGCAATCGGGACATAGGCTATAACGAAATGGGCTATATGTTCTATGAGTCCCGAAAGAGTCTCCTTTTATCTTTTATCAAAAACATTTCGAACCAATTTCTTCCCTTCTCGAGCACAAATCTTCGCTATACTTGTCCACACAACGAGCAAAATACATTTCTACTTATGTTTTTATTGATAGAAAATGTCCAAATCGATAGAAATGCTCGTAAAATCCAGGACTTTATTCGCTGGATGGATATTGAATAGTCTTGATGAGATAGGGACTCATTGTCGTACTATTTTTTTTTCTAGGCAACATTGGATATTTTGCAATAAGATATTCAAATGCGCACAGATTCAAGTTAATCTAATCTTCTAATAATTTTCCGCATGAACGCGCAGTGTAAAATCGATTTCAAACATCGTCCATGTAATTGTTTTCAGATAATGATCTTCACTGTGACCCATATACATGTGTTGAACTAGGCTCATGTGAAACTATTGCATCGACGCGCCATTATACGAATCCTCTTCCAAATTGCCTCGCAGATTTATCATAATTCCATAAACATTTGTTCGCAATTAGAGCTGGGCATTTTTGAATACCTAGTGGTTTCAGAATCGAATCGAATATTTTTTCAAATTGAATCTCGAACACTTGAAAGATGGGTAATTGAATGCGACTGAATGCAAAAAAAAACCATTCGATTCGAAATGCTTAGCCCTATTCGCAATCTTAAAAATTAAGCGCATTGGAAGATTCATCAACAACACAATATTTTTCTTTTTCTAATTCATACTTTGCGTTCACGCATAAACTCCCAAAGTTGCAATTCATTTCATATTTTGTCAAACTTTGGCTATTCATTTTCTCGTCTTTTTAGGAAGACAGGGTCGAAGACTAGTACGCCATTTTGTAGAAATCTTCTCTGTGTGCTTTTCCCCTTTAGGATCAGAATACCTTTTACTTCGTACAAAATCTAACTTATGTTCTAGTGCAAACAAATTGTTTCATTCAACATACAAGAATTGCAATAAAATAACCGAGATTTTATATAACGATTTACATCAATTACATAAGCGATTGATGATATTTTTCTCTCCGGCGCTAAATGCATTCGTAAAGTTTGGAGGTATACTCCCAAATATTATTATTATATCTGCTTTGTATAAATCATAAGTCCGAATTTCCGTATTGAATACAACTTGGCCTGTTCTGCGAAGCAAGAAATTAAATTATCACCAAAAACAGCTTGAAGTTCTTCTTGCGGATTGGGAAAGGGCAACATCTAAAGTTGCATGTAACATGTAATCAGGGGCTTGGGTAGGTATAGGGCAGCCTCCATGAGCAGCACGTTATAGGGGTGAACTTGGTGTTATAACAGCATCTATAATTTGGTTATCCTTCGTATTATTTTTGAAACTAGATATAAGGCGCATCATTATCAGAAACTCGTCCCGGGTAGCAGAAAACTTTGACACGCGCCTGCATGTAACGCAATCCTTTCTTTCTGGTGCATTCGAATTCCAGCAAGTATTTTTATTTAATGCCTTCAATACCTGTCCTGGTGAATGCAAGATACAAGACCCATTTCCTGATTTTCAATGAATTACGCAAATAATCAACGAAATTGAAATATATTACAAAATCATTTATTTAACTCTAAGCCGTGTGTGAGGCTGAATGCTTGTATTGTTTCTTCAATTTAGTTAAATTATTTAGTTAAATAAACTGCTGTAGGCGATCTTCTATGAAGAATCGTACGACCTCTTAGAGAAATAAAGAAAGTGAAATACTTCCCTAAAATTAATACTGCTAAATATCGCCATCCCGTTCATCAACAACATTTACACATGAGTTAATTATACAATTACCAAATCGAAGTAAAGCAGGCGATTCCAGCATTGTTTCATAACTATAACTATCAACCACGGCATTTTTTTATTTTCATCAATGATTTTTCATCAACAAAAAATAACGAAAGGCTTAACCAAACGAAAATTAACGAAATTCAGTTGATTATCTCAGGTTTCTTGCAACATTAAAACTCTGGCTGAATCAGAGTTACTACACAAACTGATCAGCATACTTTTTTCTTGGTTGGCATTGATGCTTCCGAATATCCATCCATTCAGTTGATTGTCAGACTTTGCATTATTACACTAATGAAGAATGGCATCATCAGCATAAACAAGCAATTTGCAAATGAGAATAACCAGAGGATCGGTGATGGATAATACGAAAACAATGTGGGTCCAAGAATTGAGATGTAATGGACACCGGCCTTAAATGAGATGCTGAAGTTGTTCGGTCTGTTGCATCGTCTTTCATATTCATTTCAAATGCCAGATGTTTATATTTGTTAGTGCTGCATTCAATACACTCTGTATATAAGTGCATATTAAATCTCTTTTGCAATATTTCTATATGTATTGATCTTATTTACTTCTACAAACGTCAAAATAATAGATACGTCATACCAGACTAGAGATTATACATAAACCAGCTTTTAATATAAATGAACTATTATACAATGTGAGCACTAGTTCGAATATATTTCCAAAAGAAGTTATATATATCGAAACGAGTGAGGAATTCTTGAATGTTAAAGATGATAAAAAGCGTTTAGTCCATTTTTATAGACAACTGAACAATGATTTTTCAAAACGAGTGAGAAATTCATTTTTATAGACAACTGAACAATGATTTTCCAAATGACATTCATACCCTTTTAAGAGAGTAAGTTTTTGTCTGTTTTTTTGGCATCTGGCATATTAACAGGAGATAATGCTGATCAGCATTATGAGTATTATTTTTCTCCAGTGAGAAATACGTCAGCACTTGGTGGCTTTTCCTCTCCTCCAACATTTGTCACAACTATGTCACGACTCATTGCTTGTGCCGCTTCGTATACTTCTAGATCGCAACCGAGAAGTTCTATTCTGAGAGCAATGCGGTTATGATACTCCAGTGGCTGTATTTGAATATATCGAGCAAGAACTGGTTCTGGGAACATGTTGCGCTTTAAGCCATCGTTATCCACGTTACCGTCGAATTTCTGAAAAAATGCGATTTTTATCGACTTTTCTTATGCTTGTAATAAGATTGTTCTCGTCGGCATTTAGTTTTTTACTGAACTTAGAAGAAAGGTGTCCGACATCACTTTTATGTTAGATATGTCTTGGGAAGGTCAACAGATGTATGCTTGTATATTTAAGTACTGATATGAATAACTCAAGCGAAACTGTGGAAACATATTTAGAAATTTCAAATATGTATAATTAACTTTGATAATTTAAAATGTACCTTATCTATTCCTCCTTCTTGTACAGTTTTGTAATTGTGACCATCTTTGCTAAATTTGATTAAATATTTTGTAACCCACATTTTCACATTATAACGACTTGCGCCTTGTGTTAATATTCCAGTTACCGCTGTTGGCTTTTCCAAATCGACCTGATACAGAATATAATGGAATAAAGTCGTAAAAATATAGAAAGCTACGGATGGCTACTGTAATTAAATATTTTGAGGTTTTAAATTAATGAAAATAACATTTTAAATAGAAGTTTCTTACTCTTTGACGTACTCTTCTGAAAAATTATTTCTAGCAAATAGTAGTAATAGTAATAATCATCACTTTCAACGCAATAGTTCGACCATATCATAGCACATTATCAATTTATATTTTTATGAAAATGGGGTGCCCAGAAATTAGTGAAAAACGAGCCACAAAAACAGCTTCATTTTTATGTTACTTGACCCAACTAAATTAAGCTTTTGAAAAAGAAGCAAACTTTATGGTTCGCAAAATTTGTCACAAATTTTCACCTGTATCACCATAACTAATAAACGTATAAAGTCACCATACCTCCATGTGTTGGTCACGACGATGATGGTGTGCGGGTATCCATGCATTTACCATGTCCTTATTGTGAAGTCGAGCGACTTGCGCACTCCAAATGTTTGAGAAAAATATCAGAAACGTGTGCTTGTATTCCGAAGTTGCGTAGATTTGAGAAGGGTCAATTTTGCCGCTTTCAATTCCGAGAGCTGTAGTGCAGTCTCCAATAGAGTCGCCTAAAATTTATTATTTTAACTTATAATACTTCATAATAAAGTTGAAAATTCAGAGAGGCCCCAGAGAAACATTGCGTGATGCCGTATTATATAAAAACATGCGAGTTTTTATCGGGGAAAGTAAGGATCACAAGCCAAAGTTATGTGAAAATCGATTTATAAGAGAAATATATATTGAATATATAAAACAAGTTTACAATTCAGTATGTTACATAACTAAGTTTACACGAAAATAAATTGGTAAAAGGAAAGGTAATATGAGAGACGAAATGATGAATGATGCAAACAAACTTGATGCTACATTTATTACCTTTATAACACCAAGCATCCCAATGATCCTGCCAATAGCATTGATGTAAGCCAGGAGCGTCACCACAACCATCAACCGCTGTAGTCATTGGAAACCATGCCGTCTTGTCTAAAGTCCATCCACACGCGCACAAAGAGAAATTACTGGAATATACCATGCCAACGGTTTATCTCAAATATATATAATTCAACACGGGCAATTTTGTATCTTTAATAAGTTTTCTTAATTTTGAAGATCGTTTAAATAGTGGTACGCAAACATATAAGATATAATACCAACGTCAAACATCTCGAGCAATTAATTCGAGTTGAATCAAAATTTAATTTTAGCATATTGCTAACATCACGCTATTTTTTGAAACTAACTTACGTTTGCCTCAGCTCTTCTAATTCTGCTTGTGTAGCAAGATGAGCACCCATTATCCCACAAGCTTGATGTGCTTCCCAGTAAGACATCTTATACGTTCCCTTTGCACTTGTGACATGGAACACTAAAAACATTTGAAGTTTTAGACGGCATGATGTGTGCCAACGTTACTGTCAGTTTATTAAGTCGTATTACGATGGGTTGGCAGTTGTTCAAATTTAAATGACCAAATTGAGAATGAATTTAAGAAATCTAATAATATAATTCTGCCACACACTTGATTAATTGGTAATTCAGCTTTCATCTGATATATTGATTATGTATCGGAAAACACGTTGTGTAAAACTTATCACAGTAATATCAGTCGACATTTGTTAGCAATGCTCATACTCGGCTTCCTTGTGAATGAAAAATATGTATATATGGCTTGTTTTTCTGTAACAATGTGCCTATTTTTATACTAAAATTGACCTGGATTATCGTCCCCGTGGTGTATTTGAGACACAGAGAAAGCTGAGGATTCAGATATAATTTTCTAAATATAAATATAATTTTTTAAGTGATTACTATTGCGTGAAACAATTGAGTTAACTTACCTTTGGCAGCCAAGCTAGCTGAAGCACACAGCAGCAACACTAACACAATATTTGTTTTCATGATTAGATGCTGAACTGATAAGGGATTTCTCATAAAGTTCTGAATTGCAAGTGAATTTAGAAGAGAAAATTTAATACTTTCTCGGAAATTTTTTTCAATATTTCTCACACATATATATATTCTAAATTAGTATGTTATAAAATGTAAACACTAGGCTCTCGTTCTTAAAGTTATATATCCATCTCAGCTCATTCTAAGTGCTAAACATTTCTTATGATTTCGGGTAGCGTGCACGCCTTTACGATGCGAAGTGCTTTTCACTTCTAGAATTAACATGAAAAACTTGCCGTAACATATTCGTGCCGAGCAATAAAAAACAACACACCTGATCACTTAACCCATTTTACAACAGATTTGCTGCTTTGAACAGACTACTCGTGAAACCAGATCAGATAAATAAATATTTACCACTCATAATGACTAATTTTTGTACTAATCAAATTCAGATAATTACATGACTTTGCAGTGTATTTTAATTACCGATCATTTCTATTACATGCGATTATTCTGTCAGACATGCCCAATCACATCTAATTTAAGTTCGAACGTGAGGAATTCGAACTTGGATATCTAAACCGCCCTCTTCGGTTGTTTTCGTAAATTGCTCTTTATAAGCAGTATTTCAAAGGTTATTCATGTTTTCGAAAATGGTTCGATAATTGCGGTTATAATGTAAAGATCGCGTCACGATTGCCCAAGGCTATCTATTGCAAAGATAATAACTGGCTAAACGTGCAACCTCATCGTATTTGTTGTATGAATCACTGAAGATTAGGAAAATTCGATAAGAAAAAAAAAAATTGCGCATAATAGTGATTCACTCTTCTTCGAATACAACCTATAAACAAAGATCAAATTTAAATGAAAATTAGGCGACAAAATTACTGTTTATGTCTCATTTGAGTCATAGGTACATTAACGAAAATTATTATTCAATTTTTTATTACGTAAATATATAGGAATACTATACATTTCACCACGCTTGTCCCCCCTCGACTAAATCCTTACCCGATGCGCAAATGTCGTGTCCATTTACTAGCATTTCGCTTTTGTTCTATTCTAATATCAAATCATAAATGATCCTCGAATGGAATTTATTTATCAAGTAGAAAAACTAGCCTAGCGTTGCTTTGCCAAGTTTGGATGAGATCCAGAATCCTTGATACACTTCCCAGAGTGACCCTCTGTATAACCAATATGTACAAGAAAAGTACTCTTTTCTCACGTAAACGAACACCAAGCACTATCTAACTCTAAATTAGTGTATGAGCGACACGTAAAAGCAACTGTATTGGTTCCAAACAAACCTATACATTCATATCGTTCATAAGCAAGTCTAAATGTACCAGGTACAGTCAACGCCGAAGCTTTTTTCATGCCCTTGCGTGATACCAGAATTCTGTCGAAAACCCAATTCAGGAAATGGCCAATATTGATGTATTATCGTTTGCATTGGTAAGTAAATGTACGCACTAGAATGATTTAATTTGCTACTCCACAGAAATTCTGATACATCACGAGATATGATTTGACCACATTTTCAGTTTGTAAAGTATTGGACAAGTATGTTCTATTACGACATCATTCTTTTGAATGCCCTTTGCACCGGAAGTTTTTGAACTGTGAATTATCAGTCACGATTTATTCCGTGAATTTAGGAGTTCATTGTAAGTGAAATTGATTACGAAGATTATGCATACTGGCCTTTTTCTAAAACCACATGCTCAATTATTTTTCTGTGAGAGCAAAGTGGCGAAAACAGTGTGAGTATTTTTTTAAGCAAAAACTTTTTTAATGTCAATATTTATTTTCAGGTTATCCTTTATAACATTATACAACGTCCAATACGCATTTTACAATATAGTTTTGTATCTTTTCTACACATTTATGCTGTTGTTTCATTGTAAACAGACTTCCATTAAATACACGAATTCGATCTTGTTTTAAAGGTGATATAATTTTCTAACACATAAATCTACTCCACCAGCTTCATGATTCCTTTTTAAAATGAATCTTCAGTCACGTAAATTCACAATAGCGCCAACTTGGCCAGACTCAGTAGCTACGTTTAATTTATAACAATTATGGGTCGACGAGTTATTATTTTTATTTGTTGTGGAGAAAAGCGATTTTCCCACCACAGCAGCAACAATTGTAACAAAACGATCTATGTCTTTTTTGTACAATAACTCGATAATTATTTTGTCTTTTTATGAGTTTTTGTTTTGTTGCAGTAAACAAAAATTAGTCGCTAAAAACTGCGATAGAGCTGCCTTATTACGGTATGTCAGTTCGTCAAATGTTGATAGGCAACGGCCATTTATCATGAAATATGTATAAACGATCAAAAACAAGTAACTAGACTCATCAGAATAAGCGCTGCGCTTGTTCGAACTTGAATACTGTTTATTGCAAAGTTAAACGATATTGTCGGCTAGTCACTGTGCTGCCCTGGTGCCCCAAAGTGAATATCTAGGAGAAGGAAGAGATAGTTTTGAGCAGCGGTTCACAACCTCTGGCCGTCGGAAAGGTATCTGTTTGTGTAGTATTGGTCTCCGAGGTATTTAATATTTGTTTTCTTATTGTTACGCCAGTGTAACCACTAACCACATTCCTCATATTTGAATGATATATATATATATATATATATATATATATATATACTATAGATCAGGTTGGTCTAAACCGCGGCCCATCGACACATTCCGTACGGCCCGCAGAACAATTTTAGCGTGCACTAAACTATTGGCAGAATGGCAGATACTTGTATTTAATGGCAGAACATTTTTGTGTTATTTGTAAACTATTCCAACTAGGAATAGCCCTTTTCCTAACCCCGATGTCGGGATTCATGTTTGTTAAAATCACGGAATTTCAATGTCGTATCTATAAACGTCAATACGGTGCCAATATGGGATGACGTCCTATGATTGTCTTGTGCAGACAGGACCAAGTCGATGAGATGGGTCGCGCTTTTTATCTAAACTTCGTACCTTGAGCTCGCTTCAAGTAACTCCTCATTTAGAGAGACGTCTTGTGCCTTTATTTTAGTAAAACACTCTATTTTCAAGCGTTGGTCGTGTGACAGCAGTGACGAACTGACTGCAGACCTGACGCCACGCTATCCATTTTTTTTTAGCTGGGTTCGGAGTCCCAACTTAGACGGACTTGGTTGTTCTTTGACAATAGCACCAGTAAGCTACTGCTCACGCTACAAGTGATAAAATTAGTCAAATATAAGAATTCATCATATAATGAGTGTAAAAAAGGTGACCGAGGTAAACTTTGAGGAAACGTATTTTCTAACCCACAACAACGTTGAACCACAGTGTCTGGTGTGTTTTCAAGTAATATCTGTCACGAAAGAATATAATTTAAAGCGACATTACCAAACCAAACACGAGAAAAAATACAGGAAATACAACGGTAATTCTCGGGAAGCAATTTTAGAATATCTAAAAGCTTCATATATCTTCCTTAAAAAAACTGATATCTCTCTTTTTTAAATATATATATACCGTATTTCCCGGCGAATAAGTCGAGGCCCATTTTTAAGCCCGGAAAATGTGTTTTTGCATATAACCTCCCAATAAGACGGACAGTAAAATCGGGATCTCAAATTATAATGCAACGGCTTCTGAGGTGTTCCAGGTGTTTGCGCATTTGTTAAAATAACCCGTAATGACTTTATCTTGTAGCGTAATATTCAATCCATGACAACTAGAGGAATTCAAAATGTCTTTCAATTTTAATTGTCCATGATATGTCCATGTGTGCAATTGCACTTGGTTGCAAATGTCCGTGGTTGCAATTGCAGGTGGTTGCGAATGTACGTGTGTGCAAATTTTGTGGGTGCAGTTGTACGTGGGTTCAAATGTCCATGGGTGCAAATGTACGTGGGTGCAATGTAGCCTACATGGGTGCAAACGCCAATGGGTGCAAATGTACGTAGGTGCGAACGTCCATGTGTGCAATTGCACGTAGATGCAAATGCCCGTGTGTGCAAATTTTCGTGGGTGCAATTGTACGTGGGTTCAAAGGTCCGTGGATGCAAGTGTAGCCTACATTGGTGCAAACGTTCATGGGTGCAAATGTACATGAGTGAAAATGGGTGCAAATGTCCGCGTGTGCATCATATAGAGGACTTGCACGGGTCACGTGACTTTGTTACTGGACGGCAATAAAACAAAAACGTCCATTTGGCTCCTGCCAGTTGCAAGTCGGATTATACGTTTCCGTTTTGTTTGGCTGTTGAAAATGGTTATTTCGTATTGTTCCGTTGGCTCTACGTATATTATAGACAACGAAATGGATCTTCAGTTATATTCCACTGATTTCAAAAGATCCGGAACGTCGCGCAATGTGGATATCATCTATTGCCTATTGGCAGAACTGCTTGGCGTCAAGTCCAGAAGCCATCTCACTTGTGTTTCACTGTTTGCGGACAGCACTTCGTTGATGGTGAGTGATAATGTGGTGATAGTGTGCCGTTTTCATTTTTTTAAAAGATTCACAAGCTCCCTCATTTCAATTGAAAGCAGATGACAAACTACTGTTATTAGTAGACGTAGACCTAGGCGTGGGCCTACTTCTGTACTTGCAGTTGCAGACTTGACTTGTGTAAGACAGTAAGCAATTAATAATCAATTGCTATAAGGTATTGTTTCCCTAATTAGCAGGTAATCTATTACTAAGTGTGAAAGGTTGAATAGATGACTAAAGTTTAACACCAGTGGTCATGCAAAAAATAACCAGAATTCAATTGAATTCGCCATCTAGGAATACGCTCGCCACCGCCGCTCTGATCACCCTGGTAGTTTCACAGGTTTCAATCCCATGCGGGGATAGTTATGTGCAAGAGGATTGCAGCTCTACTCCCACCGAGGGTGGTTCACATGACCGCTGATTGGTTACGACCATTCCCCACCATCCAAGTCCATGCTTCTGAAAACAAATAACTGGCTCCCCCCCAGATAAAACCTATCCTTATGGTGCTTGTACAACTGATCCATAGTGTCTTTTATTGTCATTGGTAAAAAAGATATACTACCCGGAATCAAATTCATTTACGGCTAGTGGCTGTGGTGGGATATGGACATAAATTTCAGACTCCTTGATCGTTAGATTTTATGAAAACTCTATCTGTATCCATTATCTTACAGATATGGGTGCGACCATGGAATAGATGGATGGCAAAGTATAAGTTGCAACAAGACCACAGTGACACAAGACCTCAGCTTGCGTGACTTGATAATACATCCTCAGTATCCATTTATTGATGCTTATCGTAATGACAAAGTAACTTGTGATTACTGTGGAATGGTGGAGACAAAAAGTTCATTGTGCTTTAACGAAAGCAACTTCAAGACGACCCTATCAAGAAAAAAAACTGTTTCGGTGGGTCTGGTAGTGAAGGTTTTAGTCTAACGTTGGACACCGATACTACAACCAGATACAGTTGCCAATGAAACTTAGCGAGGCGTAATATTGCGACTTTGTGATCTGAAAGAAAATTCTGATGGGTAGCCGCAACCTTTTGTTTAAACAATATTATGAGATATGACTTAAGAGTCTAATCTTTTATTTGAGAGGGGTGTAACCCAAGCTAATTTGCAAATGGTATTCATGGTACCAAATGTATCACACATTTTACAGTAATTATAAATTATATTTGAAAAATAAAGCACATCAAAAATGTATTTTTTAAAAACAATTGGTTTTATCTGCAGATACTAGGTTGATATTGAGATTGACCATTTCAATGCTAAATTTTATTTAGTCAAAACGCACACTTGATTCGCAAAAATTTGTGAATACGCACAGTACACCAATTTGTCTAATGTTTTGATTCCATAGGCAGGAGGTTGTGGATCGGTGCTGCTCAGGATGGGATATTTTTGCCTCTAAATGCATATTACGTGTTTCACATGAATCCATCGTGCTCAGATTCGACTGTTTTTAAGGTCTGAAGGCTCCAACAGCCTTTTTTTATGGGTACACAAGAGAATTTTTAGTGTGGCATGCATGGGTTAGTTGGAGTCACTAACCTCAAGATATATATAAGCAAGGATAAGATAACCTGGAAGTAACATTCCATAATTCAGAGTAAATAATGTATCTGCCTCCACAGCCCTTTCAAATGGAAGATATGATGCCTCGGGGGTAATTTCTATCAAATATTTTACAGTATTATGGTTCTAGTGAAAAGGAGTGTAGGCGGCTTTTTTTAAAGTGTGGTAGGTCTAGTCGAAAGACACATTAAATGTTTATGCTAACAACTGCAAATTAATATTGCAACGCATACAAGTTAACAGAATTTGTTGAAATGGTCCTGCCTTTTGCCTTTCTTCAAAATCCCCCTTTTTCTAACTATTCTCTTCCTCTCTGGGGATGGCGAAAATTCAAATATCGATGGGACATATAAGCAGCTGATAATGGGTTATCTTCCCTTTTTCCTGAAAATAAATTAAACACTAAGCATCATTTGACAGTGCCAAGTTTGTGTATCAGATCAGTAATAAATTACCTGCTAAATAACAAAACAATCAGAAAACACCTTCTGACCATTAATGAAGATTTCTTTCATTTTAAAACGCAACTATGCCTACCAATGTGGGTAGTTTTTAGGATAGAATTTATCTGTGGTTGGGGACAGATTGTAAGGTGCAACATCGTACGATTACCATTCTATGTCGGGATTAGTTAGCCAGTAATTTGTTTTAGAAGCATGGACTTGATGGCGGGGGATGTCGTAATCGACCAGCGGTCGTGTGAACCACCCTCGCACATAACTATCCCCGCATGGGATTGGAACCTGTGAAACTCCAAGGGGGATCAGAGATGCGGTGGCGAGCGTATTCTTAGATGGGGAATTCAATTGAATTCTGGTTATTTTTTGCATTAGCACTGGCGTTAAACTTTAGTTATCTATTCAACTTTTCACACTTACTAATAGATTACCTGCTAACTAGGGAAACAATACCTTATAATACCTTACACGAGTCAAGTCGGCCTACGCCTAGGCCTACCAATAACAGTAGTTTGTCATCTGCTTTCCATTGAAACGAGGGAGCTTATGAATATTCAAAAAAATTGATAACGGCACATTATGACTTACCATCAACGAAGTGCTGTCCGCAAACAGTGAAACACAAGTGAGATGGCTTCTGAACTTGACACCAAGCAGTCCTGCCAATAGATAGATATCCACATTGCGCGACGTTCCGGATCTTTTGAAAACAGTGGAATATAACTGAAGATCCATTTCGTTGTCTATACTATAAGTACAGCCAGCGGAACAATACGAAATAACCATTTTCAACAGCCAAACAAAACGGAAACGTATAATCCGACTTGCAACTGACAGGAGCTCTATGGACGTTTTTGTTTCATTGCCGTCCAGTAACAAAATCACGTGACCCGTGCAAGTCCTCTATATACGGTTTCTAAAATCTGTAGGTGCAAAAGTATGTAGGTGCAAATGTCCAACGTGCAAAGATAATGAAACCATAAGCACCATTAAACCCTTTTCAATCATTACTTGCGAGTCTATTTTGTATTTCGGTGACCGGCTAATCGGACTAATCTAATTCAAAATGCTATTTGAGACTTACCGAAAATGAGAGGGGCGCAAAAGAGGAGGGAGTTATAAACGTAAATCTATTCGTGAGCTTGCAAAATACCTCTCAGATCTGTTATGTCCTGACAAGGCAAGGAGACGACTGTTTGAAGTAACGAAGTATATTACACAATATATACAATAGAAACGGCGACCAGTATAAGACCAAAATAACGAGCAGCCCACAAGCTTAACAGAAAACAGTAGAATGAGTAACAGCCAGGGAAATCCCTTGACGTCACAATATGCTATATACAAGACTATGCGCATGAATATCTACCAAGAATGAGCATGTAAAATTAGTATCAATGTTTCCCCAAGCATCCATTACCTCGTTCATTTTTGTAACAATGACCAATCAGCTACAAGTCAACAATGACATACAATTGTTATTTGGCCGCTTTTGCGTGTTATTTGTAAGGTTTCCAGTTGCTATTCCAAAAAATAGTTGTAAATAAAATAACTGAATTGTCTTCCGTAGAACGTCAGTATAGGTTGCGATAATTAAAAATTGATACCGCAAACGCTGTCATAGACTTGCCTGAAATTAGATATCAATCAGTACCTGTGAGCGGAACGGGGTCCAATCTTTTGAGTGGAATTGATATTTTTGAAAATATGAGCCAGTTTGTAGGCGCCAACTCCCTGAAATACTCTCAAAATAAGCGTTAAAAAGTTTTCCATAGTTAATTATAAGAGAGATTTTTCAGGTATCAAGGGTCGCGGAAACGTCCATGGTGAAGTCATCACAAAAAGATTTTTTCTGGTGCCGAAGGTCGCAGAGGCATCCATTGGATACCGAATTCAACATCTGTACATGGGCGATTCTACCATTGCAATAGATCTATGATGTAATAACTTGTGACTAATCCTAAAATTATGTCAATCCGTTTTTATTACCCGGCATATAGCCGAAATGGGCATAACAAAATTAAATCACCTTTGCCTGCCCTAGAATGGACAGAATAACAGCCAAATGAACATTCGGTCTACTTGTCAGCGGCTACTTTGCAATAGCTGTATCAAATTTATGAATACAATTACAAATACAATTTATGAATCAAAGTTACTACAATACGAGTACAGTAAAGGCTTTTATGCGAGAACAGCATAGCCTCGAGATAGCACTACAAGGCAATGAGTTGCCATGGTTTTTATAGAATTAGGGACTCCCCCTGTATTTTTTTTTTGATGCAACGCTGTTCTGGCAGTTAGCTAGACGTTTTCGAAGGAGAATTCAGTAAGAAAGTTGAACATTATATAATCTACTTATATTAGATTCAACTGTATATCAATAGAGAAGTACTCATACTGATATCTTAAGTCGAAAAACTACTTCATAAGTGTAAAGATATATCAAACTAACAAATGGAATCACAATCATGTCCATGCAGCCATGGAGCCACGAATCACTAAAATGTAAAATCATAAGATAAGATTTTATTTCGATTCATTCGCAAAAACAAAATAAACACATATACACAAAAGATTAAGGCGAAGAATCTGGAAAGTGAACAAAACCTAATAAAATAGGTTTAAAACGTATTAAACGCGTTCACTTACCAAAGACTGAAAGAAAAAAGAAAACGAGTCACAAACACAAACAAATAAACATACAAACAAATAAACATGAATATTGACGGCAGTCATTACTCAGGCGTTTCACTTGGTAATCAGGTTGCGTGCAATCTTTTCAAAGACAAAACAGTGAATTAAATATCCGCTGTGCGTGTGATGCGGCATGTAAACAAACAGTCCGAAAAATCCTAGAATGAGGTGAATAAAAGTACAGAAGTATGTAATAGGGGAACGGCACTACATATTTAGGAAGGGTATAAAGAGAATAAGTGATTGCGTAATTGTTTTTTTAAAATTGGGATATGTCAAGTCTTTAATGGTAGAACTGTAGAAGGTGAATCATTCCAAATTTTTACACCTGCTCCCCCTTGGGTTGATGATCGCATGTGATGGCTATGTATAAAATACTGAGCTGTGAAATAATTATTAAAATCTTTTGGTAATAAATTTGATGGGTATTGATGCATTTATTTCCAGAAAGGCATAAATTCTTGAACTTGAGGGGTACAACTAGTAAGAGGTGTACAATTGAATAATATTGTTACAGCTTTATTGTGTAAAACTTCTATTCTTCTTGACAATTTTCTGGTAATTTAAGTTGGGTTGGGGGCTGGGGCGAAGATGATCTTTGGTGACGTTTTACATCCCCGAAGGATTTTATACTCATATACTACTTCAATAGAGGTACGTCAAGAAAAATCTACTTTCAAATGTAAGTACAGAAGTAAATTAACTGCGAACTTAGGACCGGATGCACATATTTATCCTGGGGGAGAGAAAAGTTGATAAGATGGTCCAATCATATGGCGAACCATGGTCTCTCGTCTGGGTATCAGCCCACGTCGGGTATGGGATTATTTGGTTTACTTTTATATCTGTATGTCAATTTTGGTTGAAATATTATTTTATTTTCCTACTTATCGCTGTAGTACGAGCTTTGTTATTGAGTAAGTAAATGCATTCTAAGAAGGAATTGCCCGATTCACCGGGGTTTGGAGTTTCATTGAAACTTGATGTGCACTCGGAAAAGGATTTCTGGGGCTCTGGTGATGGTTTCAAACCTGCCAAGCATGAAGTGAGCAAGAAAGTGTTGTATCCATCAGACCATGCTATTTCCCGACAGGTTGGTTGTTAAATTTGTTATATTCAACAAATTTGAAAGTTAATATTCTATATTTCTACATATCATTTTGTTCTGATTCTTTTATCAGTATATCAAAAAAGACCCAACAGTAAAAACGTTTAACTCGTTTTGTTTTTGCATGGACAACACAATAGAAAATTAGCAAGATATTTGTTTATTATTAACATACATGTGTTATGCTTCTTTTGGTTAAAAGTTTGTATACTATATAGCCTACCCAGTTAAGAAGCACAAGATTAGAGTGTATGAAAATTTGAATATGCATGCATTTTATTGTCATTCCAGGTCCGAACTACAAGAGAAATACAAAGAAATCTTTCTGATGCCTTGGATAATTTGGAGTCTCGTACCGCTTTGAGTGAAGTACAAACACTTTGTCATGCAATACTTAATCTGTACAAAAAGGTGATTTGATTTAAAAATGCATACCTGAGTGGTTATTTTCTTTTTATATTTTTGCACAAAAGTTGGTACTCCCGTAGTATGTGTACCAGGTTAGGGCAAGGTCATAATTTTATCCAGATTTTCATTTTTTTAGTTCTATTACGAGTTCGGGGACTGTTTGTGTTAGCCAAGTGAATATACCCCCTGCTCATAGGTTTCAGTCCCTTCACACAACTTGATGTAAAGTAGGCAAAGAAAATTAGTTACCCCCATTTTGGTACTCACACTTCTGGAGCGCCTGTAAGTTAGTAAGTCAGGAGGAGACCATGCTACCTGGATTTAAATAATAACAACCATTGAATTTGTTTAGACCCAACATCTTTCACAGATTGTTGATATTTTGGACAAATTGAATAAAGAAATCAAATTTTGTAGGATAAATCTACCTGGACTTCAAGATGCTAATGTAAGCTATTGATATACCCTATTAACTAGCAATATTCATAACGATCATAGTTTGGGATTTTTAGAGGTTGGTATTCCTTAGAATTTTAAATTTGACTTACAAGTTTTGAAACAAGTTTCAAAATTTTACGATGCATATTTTTAGTAGTAAATGGCTCACTATTCTAATAATCAATGCAATTGTTTTTAGTCAAAGGCCAAGTTAAGTCACAGAATTGAATGGCTTGAGAAAGGAATACTCACACTTGTTGAAAGGAACAGCTCTGAAAAATTGGATGAACTGCTAGAAGTATGTCTCATAAATTTGTATGATGGAAAAATAACATTACTCATCAAAACTGAACACTTTTCAATCGCACTCCGCAGAAGAAAATTATTTATTATCAATTTTGAAAAAAAATAATTACCAGGGATGATTTCAATACAAAAGTTGAGCATAAAAAAATTGAGCTATGTTTGTTTTAGCTACAGGTTTACTTTTGTTATTAACTTCAATATCTGCCATCACTGCTGTCTGCAGGGCCGCAGCCAAGATTTTCAAAAGGGAGGTGGGTTCAAATCGGAATCAAATACTTCCCACGCAAAGGCATCCAAATCAACTGTTGCAATTACACGCTCGTTAAAAGAGACTGCTTGCTCAGTGTATCATGATTTTACCATCACATAAAATATTCAATCCACGACAACTACAAGAATTTAAAATGTTTTTCTGTAATGAGTAAATTTTTCATCTGGCAAACATTCAATGAGTAAGGTAGCTGACCTACACAATAGTAGCCTTTATACCTAGAAAATGATATCCTCTTTTGAAAAGAAGGCTGTCAGAAAGCATTCATTTAGTATCATCAGTACAGTATAAACTGAGTATTATGATTTTCCATTTATATTATTTTATATTAATGGTTACAGTTGAAGACAGTTCCTGAAATCAAAGTACCAAACGAAAAACAAGTCAGAAAAACAAGTTTGAATCTTGTCTCTTCTGCCTCCTTTTTTACAGAGGTATTTGAAATAATATAATGTAGTCTGATAATTTATTATTGCTATAGAATGAAGACTATTCAGACTATTACTATAAAGTTATAACAATGTAAGTAATCTCTTAATTTCAAATTTTACAATTTTTCATATTGTACTTGACATTATTTCAGGTTCCAGGAGCATCCCCGACACCAAAATCTATTATTCATCTAACTCCTGATGTACCCTTATCACAACAAACCTTTGAAAGGTCATCTCTGAAAAAAACTGCTACTTTACCACCAGTTTCGTTTTCAATACCAGAAAATGGTACATGGTATAGTTTGATAATACTGCCAGTGTTTTATTTTAAATTGATAAAATTTATCACCTGGAATACTTACTGTAGCTGGAATTGTAGGCTATAATTATGACAAGAAAAAAATATTGTTTAAAACTATTTACTTTTATGATATAAAATATCGTATTATATGGTTCATGTTAATTAACCATGAAATCTAGCACAGATTTTGATTGGAAGTGGCCATATAGCATTTTTTCAACTCATATCCGAGTGAGAATATAGCTAATAAAATATTGCAATGTAATCTATATTATGGGTTATATGAAAATAGTTTTTGCCAATAAAATACAGTTCTATGTTTATTCATTAAATTATTAGAGATCGATTTATGAAATGTTGCACAGACTTTAAGTGTCCAGTAGCCATAGCATTATTTACTCATTACCAAGTGAAAATATAGCTAATAAAATGTCGCAATCTATAGTTTTATTGGTGGCATTTAAGCCAATCATTGTCTGGTTGTCCTGCTCCGATGAAAGTTGTTTTAACTCCTGCAAAAGTGTAATCACCCATACTGGTAAAGTGGTAAGAAATCTTACAAAAATTTCATTGATATGTTCCAGAAGAAACGAAGTCAAATGCTGATGCGAGTGATGCTTATTGGTCAAGTGGTCATCATCAATTTATTTATTCTCCCAATAAGGACATTATCATGCAGGTATCACTGTTTATATAATTCTTAATCAGTATGCTATCCATGAACAAGTATGACATTCATTTACGTCTACTGAGCAGGGAGGCCTAGACTATAATAAGGTCAAGCGGGAATACTGGTGGTATTTTTTTTCAATAGCATTGGTTCTTACATGATAAAAATAAATTAATCTGAATCAATAGGGCCTTCAAAATCATGACCTGTAACACACAGACATACGTAGTTCAGACAGATTTCATTCTCACAAGATTTTTGATATATTGAAATTTTCAACTTGTATTTTTGCTTCAGTCCCATTTATCTAAAATGATAGAAAATTGTTGAGAAAATTAAGGAATGTTATGGGATTGATTAGGCCTATGCTATGCATGAATGAGACTTCATGCTTTTTTGTCATATTTACCAATCAATTAGACAATATTCTAATTTGGGGTCTCCTACCGGTGGTATAAAAATAAAAAGTTGTTTTTCTTTGTCGGAAATTAGTAACTTTTTTTGATTAAATTCTCTCTTCGCATAAGTTATAATGTAATGAACCAACTAGCTGTATGTGTTTTTTTCACAGGAGAATGCTCTTTCCTACCATTATCTCGGCCTTGCTATGCCAGCGAATTTCGTTACTCCGACTTCAGAAGAATATATAATATCTGCATCTTTGCCTTGGCTGACAGATCAAAATGCAGCAGCAGGAAATTTTGACATATTGGTAAATTTTGTTGATACTGGACGCTATGGTCAGTGGTTGAGTTAAAATGTTAGACTTTCACTCTATTGGCTTTGAATGTTAAAAGTCTCTGGTCCAAATTCAATGCCCATCACCTCATCCTGGTGGTAATAATTTCAGCAGGCAATGCTGAACTGGTAGATGCCAGTTTTTCTGAATTAGAGTAGCTCCTGTTTTATCTATGTTTGCTTGCATATTGCCTTGTTCAGAGAGAAAGTCATATAAAACGCTAATGAAAATTGGATTATAGCTTCAGTACAGTCTTCATAAAACCTGTGTTCCCAAATCCTTAGGTGTATATGAATGTTTAAGAATTGATCTACAAAGATAAAAACTAGGACAAAGTCTTTAATACTTAATTAATAAAAGTCTCTTTTTTGTCCAGAATTGTTGGGGTTCTGGCTGTTGGGTCGAGAAATACTTATTTGAAGGTTAACATTCCCACTTAATCTAGTTGTAACATGCGCAATGTAAAATTTTGTTTCATGATATTCAGAGAGGTGATTTGGAACGAGTATTACGTCGTACTCGCAGAATTCAAGATAAAGTTTGGAAAGCTGCTAATTTATCTGTTGAATTTGATGTGAATAGCAGCGGTGAAGACAACAATGAAAATTATGAAATTGTCAGTAAATTGCAAAGTAGAGGTAGCACTAGAGGCAGAAAAAGAATATGGACTGGAGGTTCGTTTTTGTCCTTCATAAAGCTGACCTCGTTATTTGATTATAAAATACAATATTAGAAAGGTCTTTTTTGCTCATTTTTGACTTATCAGCGACTGGAAAGTCTGCATGTTTATTTCAACCCTGTAGTTTGGTGATCACTACGATGAGGTTCTAATTGAGTAACTTCCCCGATTTCAAATGATGTTATATGCTCGAGACTTGACTTCTAAACATGTCTAGTGTGCGGTATACTGTTGTACTATATAGGGTAGCATATGCTGCACCAATGGATACCTAGTTTGTAATTGTCAAAGTGACAAGTTGATATTTGTAGTTGTACCTTCCATTGGTTGCACTTTGATCTGGGAATTCACACTGTTTATTCTGACAAAGGAGCGATCAAATATTTACCTTATTTTATAACTTTACTTTTAAATGTCACGTGGTTGGGTTGTCGCCTAGTGAAATCCTAGGAAAAAGGGGTTAAACTTTCATAATTGTAAATGCGCTTGCATAAGTAAAAAATCATTAAAAGAAAAACTTGATATACTGCAAAGGACAAGCCGGTGGATTGTTTCAATGGCACAAATCATGTCAATTAGGCTCGCATACACCATGCCGAAATCTGAGTCCATTGTAGCTACAGAGATTTTAATAGTGATTGAGGTATCAGATTCCATTAAAAATATCTTCTTGTTAGTTTGGAAATAGAAATATGATATGGGGGATTTGTCAGCAATCAATAGTAGCAAAAATAATTATGAATATAATGTAGCACTTTCAGACTTCTAAATTGTCTTCATTGAAAGTATAGAGTTTTTAAAATTATTAAATGTAGCTGTAATAGAATAGGCTCTTACAAGAAAAACAAATAAATTTGAAACAAACAAACCAAAACACGGTATCGATAATGATGTCTCAACATAGGACATCTTAAATTTTTCATCTGTCTTGCCACTATGAACATGTTATTCAGAATGACTATCCACAGTATTCACTACATAAAAATAGCTCCAACCATATGCGCATATTAAATACTTTTAAACTTTCCAGGTGTAAAGTTCATTGCTCAGAAATAACAAAATGTAACATTCAAAAGTAATAATATCTGTCTTAATCTGATATCCCAAATTTAGGATGGCAAATTTTCACTATGAAAAACTTTTTTGTTTGCATTCTTTTTTCATTTTAGTTGATAATTTTTGGACTCAAAGACTTCTGCAAGTTGAAATTGTGACCATTGACTTGATTCTAAACAAAATAATCGAAAGCTTCAATTCTATATCTCCAAAGTCCCAACAATGATTTTCGAGAATTTTCTTTGGTGTGTAATGTTACAAAAAAGTTTAAATAACACTACACTCACTGGTCTAACTCTGGCTCAAGGATTGTGCCTGCATATTCTGCAATCTGCACCATTATATTTCCATCCATATTTCCTCTGGACTATTTTACTTATTATATTATATCCTTAAACATAATATATGTCTTACAATCACAGTAAAAATGAGTACTTTTTGTTTTTATTTGGCAGGATCAACTGTTGGTTCTTTTCGAAGTGATGTTACTAGAGCTACGTCATCAATGAGTATGTAACTTTCAATACTTTATCATATGTGTTCATACCAAAAGTGCTCTGAAATTGGATACTTATTCATGCCTAGGTACACTTAAATCGCAGTCCTGGGGTTAAATTCATTCATTTTGCACATTTCCTACACTTTTTATATTCTACTATATAGGATAACTATTTGAGTTTGAAAATTTAAATTTGCTAATCTACCTGCCTATTGCAATTTGTGACTGAACATTTGTTTTAGTAAACAAGAAACGCTACTAATGAAATTGTTTGTCTGATGACTTTTCCAAAGATGAATACATATGTCTGAAATGTCAAATAAAAAGGTTTAGATGAAGAAGTTGCAAATTTAGATTTTCCTCAATTACAGAATCTTCAAGGCCTGGATCATCATCAAGTATAATGAGTAGTTCAACCTACATATCATCAGGATCTCTGGCTGATTTGCAACCTAACACTAAAAACATTCAACAATTAACTAGAACGGTGGGTATTCCAAGTTATCATGGTTATTTATTTGTTTTTGGATTCAGGATTTTGAAATAAGGGGTCATCTGGTAATAATTCATCAGAAATTACTGTCAAAAACAGACTTTTGATAAGTATATCAAGCAATAATATCATGATTTCATTTATTTGTGAGAAGACAATGCTATACATGCAGTGTCTCGAATAGATTTCAACAAATATTATCGAATCAATTTTATTTAGTGCTTGCTTTTTTCAGAACATGTCAAAAAGATATCCTCATGTCTGTGATAGGTGGACTGAAGCTCGTCCAGATAGTGATCATTTGATGACACAACAAACAATTGTAAATCAAAGAAATTTATACAATCAGACCAAACTAAAGCTATTTGTAACAAAAAGAAACAGAGACAGGTGGAATGGCATTTTGTATATATTTATATTACAGTGATACCTCGGTAGTCGAATGACTCGACACTCGAACGATATGGTAGCCGACAAAAATTTGAATAAAAAATGCTGTGATATTTGAACAAAAATTGACAATGCAAATTAAATTTCACATTATCTTGCATCAAAAAAAATATTTTAATTTTTTTTTTATGCAGTTGGAGATCACATTTTGTTTACTTAGTCATTGTGGCTTTTTTGCTCTCTTTACAGGTCTTCTATTAGGCGTGATTTGATAACTCCCAACAGTGTTACATCAAATCGCTCATTTAGAAGGATTGGAAGTGGAATACGATTCATTGAAAAGTTGAAGTCCAGTGGAGGTAATGCTCTTTCACAGCCTCAAAAGCAAAGGCTGGAGGTGAGAAATAATTTTGCTAAAAAGCTTCTGTATATTGTGTTTTTTCACACATGAATTTATTGTTTGGGCATAAAATATCAGCGTTGTCAGATTGATGATCGCAAACCTAATTTGGATGAACATGTTGCTTTGATGCTCCAGAAGTGTGTGTTCCAATGTGGAGGTAACTAATTTTGTAAAGGGACTGAAAGCTATGGACAGGGGGTATATTAACACAGAAAACGCAAGACAGTCCCTGAAGTCGTAATAGAACTCAAGGAAAAACGGAATAAAATTATGGACTGTCCCTAACCTGGTAAACATACTACGGGAGTACCGATGCTTTTTGCCTCTCATCATACTAGCTCTTCTCTTATATAAGTGTAATTGGATAAAATTTTATAGCATTTCGGCTGGGTTAAATTTGTTTAAAATATTGGATATACAACAATCACAAGACATTGCACACTGTTAATAATGTTTAGACCTATTCAAATAAAACATGGTTTCTTTCAATCCGCTAGATTGTGTGTTTTTTCATTATTCAGGATCTATTAACAACCGGAATAAAGTCTGAAAAAGACGATGTCAGAATTTATGCAGCGAAATCTTTATCTTTTCTTGGAGTTGCAGATTCGGATAGCACTGTTCCTGTATTAACTGATTTGGTGAAAAATGACTCGAATGCTATTGTGCGATTTGAAGCTTCTAAAGCACTTCTGAATCTAGGTGAGAAGATAAGTGTCTTATTGAAGCCTCAACAATGCTTAACAGTTAGTAAACATATTGCAATTCAGGTGAAAATTGTAACGAAGTACTTTGGGAGTACCACAAAGTTAGTAGTCTTGTAATTGTATGGAACATGATAAAATAGTTTTGTAAGAATTGGCAGGTTTTTTGCCAGAGCAAAGTGTAAAACACCTGCAAAATTTGGTTACATGCCATATTACGTATTTAGATTTAACGCATTTAATAGAATTTATTAATGTTAGTTTAATACAATTTTTTTTAGTTTTTTTGTTTTGGTTATTTTAAGTTGTCTCCTTATTGCACTATTAAATGGATTGAGATTTTATCATACTCATTATTGGATTTGCTGCAGTGTAAATCTGCTTTGAATACCGTATTCACTCTCATAAACACATAGTCAATTGATGCAGTTTGTGTACATGCATATTTTGTCGTGTATTTTGGTACGGTATAATTTGTTTGAGTTGCTAAGATTCTCTTGGTGAATCATAGTGTTTCATAATACAATCTATACAATATTTGGTACTCCCATAGTATGTGAACCAAGATGGCGGGCACTGGAACGTAGTATGTGTACCAGGTTAGGGTTAAGCCATAATTTCTGGTACAAATACTACGAGAGTCACTTGGCTAGTCCCCGAACTCATAATAGAAATAAAAATAAGGAAAATTGGAATAAAATTATGGCCTAACCGCCCTAACCTTAACCTGGTACGCATACTATGTACCGGTGTCCGCCATCTTGGGTCACATACTATGGGAGTACCCAATATTTATATCGGATTATTCCCATTAGGCCATGTATAAAAACATTTGACGAGATGACTAATAGTACGCTTGTCAGTCGCCACCCCTAATTTAAATAATCTAACCAGTTTAAATGCATTGATTTTCCAGGATTTTGTTCATGTGATGCTGTCAGAGAGTTGACACTCCATCTTCGCCATGGCAATGATGAAACAAAACTTGATGTTTTAGAGCAAATAGCTTGTACATCTACTATTCGAGGAATATTCCATGAGATTGAATACAAAAAAGTGATGCGAAAATTGGTCAAGGTGCATGTCATTTAATTTTGATATTCTACTATTAACAAGATGACTATATTCAGATTGGGCTAAGTTTGAGATCCAGAATTGCATTCAAGTCGAATCCACACATTTGTGGGACTCGATATCATCGATAAATCGATATCATGTCCTCGTCAAATTTTAGTCTTTATTACATTCAGATTTTACATATTGACGCCTTTATCAGTACAAACAATACCTACTAAAATTGTGATCAATTGCATAGGATCTCTACAAATATACATTCGTAATGTTTCACAGACTCTTATTAGATAAATTTTACTTCCTTCATGCTAATATGAGTAAACCGAGAAAACCCTCTTCAGATTATTTGCATTTGCGTTATGACATCATAGATTCGTGAGGAATCACCTCAAGTTCTTTACCTACTACTCAAATGTACTGGATCCATCTAATACTGCTTGTTTGTTTGTTTGATTACCAACAAAAAATAATTTTCAAACTTATTGTAGCCATGAATGTCTTTGTGTATTAATCCCTGGACATTTTACTCAAAAGATACAACTTCGAATCATATGGTTCATAGTTACAAGTCCAGGTCTTCAATTTCTCCAAGTAGTAAGTGCTCCCCTTAATTACTCAAGGATGAATGAAAACGTAATCTTTGCTCCCAATGTTCCATCTAAAACTTTTTGCTCCGTTGATACTCACTCTGAACATTTGGCAAATTTTCTGACTTTGTAAGTATAATAATTTTCATATCAATCAAGGAACTACGACAGCTTGCTGAATCGTCTGATGCAAATGAAGAAATCGTTTTTCGAGCAGCTGTTTGTCTTGGACTAATTTGTGGACATACAGATGAAGATTCTGCCGTGATTTCTCAGACAAAGTTGAAGCATGCAGTTCTTGTAAGTTTTCGGAAATCAAGCTTGATTGTTGACAAATTAGGCTAGGCATTAGATATTCTTGCCATATGACATAGATAGCATTTGTCTTCTTGACCTCATGAGAAACAGTTATTTTGTGCAATCGTCTTAAACTAAGATAGAAAGACAACCCGGTTAGAAACTCAAAAACTGGTATATATTTATAAGCTATGGAATTAACGGTTTTACATTTATTTCAAACTTAATTTGTCACCAATTCTACAATAATTAGTGATGATTTGTTTGTTTGTAGTCTTCAACAGACTGGACGGTTCGTGCACAATCACTCGAAGTTCTAGTTCGTTGCCTAAATTACTGTGATGAAGAAATATTCAATGTCATTGTAAAACATCTGATAAATGCCGTCAAATGGAAAGATAGATTGGCAGCTGCGTTATTGATAGCATTTTTAGGACCGAATAAGGTAACAATAGATTGACATATATACATTCACTTTTTTGTACGTTTTGGCAAGCTTTCTAGTGGTTTTTCACTGTTATTGTACGTTTTGGCAAGCTTTCTAGTGGTTTTGACGGTTGTATATATAAGAAATGAGTTATATTAGAGGCAGCTTGATGAAATGACTAGAATTTTTCAAATTAATGCCAGAATATGTTTTTTCTGGCCCCTTAGTACTGGGTAATTTCATTGAAGAAATACTATCTCATTGGAAAAAGATTAAAGGCTTATAAAACATGATAAAAACAATTTTATATTTGTAAATTTTCAATATATTTATGAATAAAATTCTTTGTTTCCGACTTTCAACTTGTGCACTAATTGCTTATCTCACAACATGTTGCATTGTTAAATACAGTTGGAACAAATTGTTGATGAGGAAACATTGTACAGGATACTTAGCAAGAAAATGTACGATGATGTTAAAAGGGATGTTCGACTTGGTGTATCACAAGCTATCACAGCTCTTGGAATGAGAAACAGGTTTATTGATATAAATTGATATTGAAATTATTATCCCACTACTCATGAATATTTAACATTTTATTCTATAAACGAATGTTAGCCCATTTTTTAAAAATCCCTGCTTAATATCCCCATATATTTCACAGTAAGTATTTACTTAGTCAGTGAAAGCTTGTTGTGTGAATGCCTACTGATTTCGTTTAATCTTGTAACATTTTTCTACCATAAATATGGTCTAGACCAGTGGTTTCCAAACTGGGGTCTGGGGTATTTTTGAAGGTTCCGCGAAACAAAGGCTTATGGTAATATGGCTAATAGCTTGTTAATACAAAAATGAAGTGCTTAACTTTGCAAATACACATTTGTCGCCTTTTGCTGATTTGCAATCCCTGATGGAGTTTTCTGTTTCGATCACGCTGCCCCATTGTGATATCACAGAGAGAGTTCAGTTGATGCCATCACAAGTTTACTAACTGCAGAGTTGTAGCTGATGCTGCCCTTTCGCACGCTTACCAAATATCGAAACAGATTGGATGTCACACATATCATTAGAGTTGCGCTTTATATTCTTTTGTTCATTTAACTATATGGCGCATTGGTTTTGTTGTTGTTATCTTTTAATGTTTTGTTTTAGTGCCGGGCCGGAAATCATTGAAAAAATTACAAGGGGTCTGTTTAGACTCACTTTGCAGCTTGAATTCTACAGTTTGCTCTCTCTACACACACTAACTAACTTTATACTGGCTTAAATGCAACATCTCTGATTGCCGACAACTTATGTGATGAAAATATTTGCAGAGTCAATTGATAATATGATTTACGCTTCGCAATGGCTATAAATTTTTGTGTAAAATGCGAAGATATTAATGATGTAGAGCAGAGGTCGGGAACCCATGGCTTGGGAGCCATATATGGCTCTTTTGGTGACAGCATATGGCTCCCAGACAAATCTAGTATTTTAGGGCTAAGTTTACTATTGTTACGAGATTTTATAGCCAAATTCTATACAATTCAACTACACTACGTTTGAGAACGCTCGCCCATCGCATGTCTATGTTGTCTAAAAGAGTTACCAGGCAGGCATTGTGACAAAATTAGGGGATTCTGGAACATATTTTGTGACATCACAAAGCGATAGAGTCACGGAGCAACAGAATAAAGCTTTTCGTTCATTTGTACATACTAGTTACAGTATATATTTGTCATATTTAAATTGGACTAGCAAAGTTAGTTTTTAAGATTCTACGGTAATGACTAACTGAACGAAAGAAGGGTGATGAGTATCGTAGGTTTCAACTAACTTGTGCTGCATGTGAGCAGTCGTTTAAGGCCCGCAGCGACCACGTTAAATTAGGGTTGCCATATCTGGAAAGACAAAATCCCTGACAAAATTTTAATGAGCCAATTTTGCAACCAAAACACTTATACTGTACAGTACTATGGTATAAATTCACGATGTATCCAAAAGCACAAACTGTTGTCGCTTTAACGTGAGAAAAGAATGAATACAGAACAAAACGAAAGGAGCAGAATTGTTGCCCAATCTTTAGCAATAGTGACTAAACCCTAGCACGGAATAAAGCACAGGTAGAGGAAGTGCAATAAAAATTCTGATTACAAAATGCTGGCGATTCAGGTCATATGTACCATCACAATTATGCTAGAATGTAACATATCTCTGAAAAATAGCATTTCGTGGATGCGCAATATCTGAATACTCGATTTGTAGCAGGGATTCACTATATTCGAAAATTTCTGACATTCAATCACTTTTTAACAATTCTCCCTGATGCATGACGAAAAATATGGCGTATGGCAACCCTACTTTGAATGTATATTGACATTGTATGTGTTGACTTTTGGGTAAAAATTTCAGGCCTGATTAAGTGAAGAAATGCTGTAATGCTCGCACGGAAATGCAATTTAAAAATATGTACCTTTTATGGCTCTCTTGAACAAAAAGGTTCTCGACCCCTGATGAAGAGGCACGATAGTTTCAGACTGAAAATATAGTCAGATTTATTTCCCTGAGAAAATCATCCTTATTTCTAATTATACTCATTCAGGCTTATGGAAGATTTGGATAATTCATTGCATGACTCGAATGAAGAAATTCGATCACAAGCTGTCATTGCAATGTCTGGTGCAGGAATTCGATCTGACACAACATTAAGATTTTTGGTTGAAATGTTGGGTCTTGATTCGAGTGATTATGTCAGATTGCAGGTCAGTCATCTACCTGATTTTTTTTCTAAGTTTGATATATTCAATTGTGCAATTTCAATTTGTTTTCATGTCACTCGAAATTCGATAGCAACCTCGACAAATATTATGTATACTATATTTGAGTGCATTTTTTTTCGTGACTTTGTGTCGAAGTCATGTAGAGTTGCTAGTGATCGATGATATTTGCTGTAGTAGTTTTTCACTTGATATAAAATTGCATTTATATTTGCTTCTTGTTCGTAATTTCAAATAAAGGTTTACACAAAGCAGGGTTACAGGCCACAAAATGGATAGGACAGCCATTTTTAGTAAAATGTCAAAACGTATTTATCGATTTAGTTCACAAGCTTTTTTGTCTTAAACTTTATTATTTGTTATTCAGGTAATAAGAACCTTTCAAGCACTTGGTGTGACAGACATCCGTGTGGTTAGAGCTGTGAGGGAAAGAGAAAAAAGCGGTGGTCCACTTGCTAGGTTGGTTTCATTTCATGATTCTGCACCAAGCTATGGGCAGCTAGTTCAAAAATGCTCAGGATTCTTCTGCACTGCGCTAATATGCAGATGTATGCTAAGGTTTAAATATATATTCATACGAAACATATGTTATTTTCTGCTTATTTCAGAAAACCCTGCTCTTGTTTGGATATACCGGTAGTTTTCTCACAAGGTCTCTCGTCTCTTATAACAGCATTCATCAGTTAAATGCAATTGTCGTTTTTAATAGGGCTGCACAAAGATATTTGAATGCATTTGACATTCCTCTGGCATCGTCACAAGCCTCTCAAAGACGTGCTGCAAGCTCAAATGCCTTTGACAGGAACTTGACCCGCGGTAACTCATCATGGTCATACAATACAAGAGCATCAAACATATTTACTCGGGAATCAATGCGAAGTAAAACAACTCTCAATTCACCAACTAAAAGTTCAAGAAAAGCATCTTCTGTTGGACTGAACACAGATTCTTTTCCAAAAATTGAGATTTTATCCACAGCTACTAGAAAATCTCCTTCTAAGAAATCGCCATATGGCAAGGTTTCTTTCTCTGACGGAAGATTGCTTACTAGTGCCAGTAGTATTTTCTGAATTGTCCCCCTTTTTCCGTTCAGAAACATATAATTTGCCAGGATGTAATTATTACTGCTTTTTCCAAATTTTCAATACTTTTATTGTGGTTTGTAAAAAGAATGTACATAGCTATCCACTGTGAGTTTTCGTTATTGAACTGCTGATATTTTACTTAGTTTTTTTAGTGGTCTCACTGACATTTACCTATTTTACCCATGCATTTAAATCTCTCGCCTTTATCATGTTTAACCCACTGTATGGCTTTTTTCGTTTTGTTAAAATTATGAAGTTTTGTATATTTATGATAAATCCATTCCATTTCCATGCTTATCTTGTACAACTGTACTAAAAAAATTTGTCTTTAATAAGGCAATATCTACCAATGAAAGCATGTGATACTATCTTTTTGAGTGAATAATTTTCTTTAAATCAATCTAATGTTTTTGTCCTTAAAAGAGGATTCAAAATGGTTGCATAAAAATAACTACTATACAACACAATGTGTAGTAGTGGTGAAGCATGGATTTTGCAACCTAGTTATGTTATTATACATATTTTGAAATTACTCTCTAAATTATGAACATAAGTGATTCAATGTGTGGAAGAATAAATATGTATCCAATATATTTTATTTGATGCAAACCAGTGTAAATATCATTTTAAAGTGAATGACTTTTCTTCCAAAAAGGTATATATTATTATTATCAGAATTCTAAAATACAATTGCCTTGGTTCAGCATAATCTTGTGACAAAATGATGACAGCACATCATGGCTATCATTCGCAAACAATTCCTATGCATTGTTCTTCGCGCTAAGGCTGAACGCACCCAGGTGTCCAGTGCGAACCCAGGTTAAATGAACAGATCTGTTTGTAATAAACGGACGTACACAACACGTATGGGTGTTGTTGTGTTTGTGAATTACGAAGATTGGTAAGCCCACCAACTTTCTCGTATTTTAATTCAGATGCTCAAACATTTGTTTCCGTAGATGCCTCAAGCGTAGCTCTTGGAGCAATTTAATCATAAATTGTACATGGCCGAGAGAAACCAGTAACCTTTGCTTCGAGAACTTTGTATGTATGTATGTTTATTCGTCTCGTAAAAGTAATATAAAAGAGTAAGTAATTATAAATACTGAAGACGGGATGTATGCACAAGACCATATTGGCCTAAAACACAGATGTGCGCCATACACCCCTTTTGATACATATACATTATAATAGGGTAAACCAAATATGTACAATATGGTCCTTTATACAGGCAGTTGTGCAAGGAGGGTGGGTGGATGTGGTAACAGGGATAAGGGTGGAGTGTACAAAACTGTTTGTACAAAGGAGTTTGTTAGACAAAACAACATCTATAAATAGAGACACAACACAACATGAAACACACTGCATATGAATATAGTAATGAAATTTTTTTTAAAAAAATTAAGAATTTGGATGAATGTACAACACCATTGAGTGATGATACCACATACTATAAAACGCGGGAATGGTCAAGTTTAAAGGGTGTGTACATATATGGTATGCACCACTTAAGGGCGATAGTGTTATAAGTGGTCTATGGTTGTTCTGGCCAAAATGTGACCCTACAGGTTTTGGTGAAATATGATAAAGGTATGTATCAAATTACTCGCTATTGTAAGGTTTTTTTGAAATTCTGGATTCAGCCAAAAACGATGAAGTTTAAAAAAAAAAATACAAAAAAATTAATAAAAAGCATTTCCACAAAACCTATTATGGTTGCATTTCAGCCAGAAGATTAGAAAGGTATAAAGGTACAGTGGGATAGGGATATAAAGAGAAGCCATTTTACCATGTAATGGATTTTCCAATGTAAATTAAAATAATAAAATTATATGGTATCCTGGGATGAGCAGAAGAAAAAGTGTGATTCGGTGATAGGTAGCAACAATGGAAATAAATTGAACAGCATGCTACTCAAACAAAAACCATTGTCCCTACTCCCTACTATTTGTGCATTGAAGTTCTATTAAATTGTACTATCTATAACCTAAATTGCTGTGCTTTTGTTGTTGTCTAATTGCGCATGATAATGAAATTAGAATGGTGTGCTAGTTATTAATTCAGTCCATTGTTCTATATTGAATCCGGGTGAAGTATCCTGTGGAGTTATTGAAATTGTCAGCTGGTCTATGGTGACTGAAGAGGAGGACAGTTTCCTGATAGTTCATTCAATCCAAATAATCAACAGCTCTCCCTTTCAGTGTTGAATTCACCTTAAAAAAATAATCTCCAAACAGTAACATGTTCAAAGCAGAGAAAATTGCTAATATGATGATAATATTTATTATATTTTGTTTAAGTTTGGAACAAAATTCTGAGTTCGATTTTGAATTTTTGATGTCATCGGGCAGGGGAATTCCAAGCTTTTGGTCCACATACTGCGATTGATTCTTGTGAAATACTTTTACTGACAAATGGAATAAAAAAATTATCTTTATTTCTGCTGTTTGAATTTGGGTTTGCTTGGAACAGGCTGTTCGGGCTGGACGGAAGCTCTCCAATGTGACAAGAGAACATCATAGTACATAGTTCGAATTTAGCTAAATCCACAACTCGTAGTAGCCTATGCTCTTTAAATAAGTCATCAATTTTTTCGCGATTACCTCTATAAAAAACTCTTCTAATAAAGCGATTGCAAACACTGTGAATTTTTTTGAGAATGGACGATTGGCGATGAACATAAGCTGAGGCACAATAACGAATATGGCTTTCTATCAGAGAGTGGTATTGAGATATTAAACAAGATGTATTTAAGTTGTTGGCTATTTTCGTAATGGCACTAAAGACGACCTTGTTTTCGATAGAACCATATTGGTGTGTTGTTTCCAAGACAATCATTACACCCAGAAAGCGAGTCTGATTAACTCTTTCTATATTTATTCCATTTAATTCCAAATTTTGTTGCAGAGTTGACACTTTTGCTTCGGCGTGCTGAATATCATATATTCAGTTTTATCGACATTAATAGTGAGTTTGTTCGCAGACAGCCAAGCTTGAATATTTTCTAAGTCGGTATTTGCTTTGATCAAAAGTTCAGGCAAGTTTTTGCCTCAAAGATATGGCGTTGAGTCATCAGCAAAAAGTATGATATCAGAGTGAAGAAGAGAATTCGGAAAGTCGTTAATAATGATTGAAAAACATAATGGAGCCAAAATAGAACCTTGTAAAGTGCCTACAGTCAAATTACAGTATGTGCTAGATGCTACATCATTGTATATAACTACTTGTTTCCTTCCTGATAAGTAGCTTTTAAACCAATTATAACTCTGACCTCTAACGCCAATATGGTGCAATTTGGCTAGTAATATGTCATGGTCAATACTATCAAATGCCTTGGAAAGGTCCAAGAACATACTGAGAGTATACTCATTCCTATCAAATCCTTCTAGAATTTTACTGACAAGCAGGGATGTTGCATGAGATGTTGAATGATTTTGTCGGCGACTGAATACTCGACAAGTGGATAGGATAGGATAGGATTTACATATTTATCCCAGGGGAGAGGAAAGCCGATAAGACGGCTTATCCATATAGCGAACCACGGCCACTCGTCCGGTTACCATTCCAAGTCGGGTATGCAATTAGTAATATTGTTTGTTTTCGGAAGCATGGACTTGGTGGTGGAGGAAGCCGTAACCGACCAGCGATTACGTGAACCACCCAACGACGGCGAGCATTAACGAACGCGAAGCATTAGCATGTATCTTTGCTGTTGAACACTGGCATGTATATCTATATGGTCGTAAATTTACCCAGTGAACTGATCATATGTCACTAACTACGCTTATGCAAACGACTGGTTCAGGGCATAAACCATTGCGTTTACATAGATGGGCAGACCGATTATTACAATATAGTAGGTCGGGGGAAGTCGGACCCACTAATAAGTTATTTTGAATAACTCTTCAAATAATATCGCAGCTGCATTCGTTCTACGATTGATTCATGCACCCACCCTCCAGCTATCTTGCCACATTTGCACATTGTTGCCATAGCAACGAATCGGAATTTACGCCCGATTTTCAGCTAAAAAAATATCGGGGTAAGTTAGACACTTTGTGGGAAAGACGGACACACACCAAAATTAACTTGATGGTGTCTAAGATTTCGGTCATAAGACTTCGGTCAACGCCTAGATGGCCCAGGATTATGTCTCTTGAATTTTTTTTAAACAGATCACTTTTCTTGCATATTAAAAAGTATGTCCGTCTTACCCCATAAAGGATATAACAGGGCAATTTTCAAAAGAGTTTGAACAGTTTTAGGAAAACTAGAAATTTAAAATTTAGTTTGCGCTTTTTCAACTGCAATTTTTATGTCTTCTTTACACGGACTACCTCTAGAAGTATTTATTTTGTAATTTCTTGGCATAACCTTGGGCGTATTTTATACGCATATGAAAAAAAAATTGGACGGGGTAAGATGAAATTTTACGCCGGGCTCAACTTCTAAGAGACCCAATATAAATATGGCGATGAGTGTGCTTTTGATCTTTGTTGTAAAAAGGTACTTAGTACCAAAAAATAATTATTCATAAGTTTCGATGACGACGGCCCATTGACATTCCCAACAGACTATATTGAAAAAAATCCTCCCCCCTCCCCCACTCAAAATCCACCCTACCTCTTAAGTGACCCTGCCAACCCAAAAATGAGTACTGGCAGTCTGCTAAAGAATTTATTCGATCTAATGCAACTACTTTCAACAAATAAACAAAATAGAACCGAGTTCGCAGACTTTTCCGGCTAAAATTATTCTTCGCCACCATGGGACTCTATAATTTGACGTTTTTCTGTCCCAACAGAAACACCCTTTTCCCAAAAAGCACCGCCTTGTAAGTTGTCGAGCCTGAAATGTAAAATCTTGGTTCTGTCGTTGTTCGCATGATGTCGCTCTTTCACGCGATGCGTTTTGAGCGACGAAAAAGCGCGAGGTGTCGCTAGTTGGAGGATTTTATTTTGACTGACCATCATACCCCGGGTGTCCGAACTACCCCGACCTACTATATAACTTTGATGTAAAATATATTTCTGGGAAGAATAACCAAGTTGCAGATATGTTGAGCAGATTCATACAAAACGATCCGGAAGAAGATCACCTTTAACTTGACGTCTTACAAATATCATTGAGTTTCTTGGTTAATGCAGACAAACTGAAACAGAATCAGAAGTTTATGAACATTTTGTTGAACTACGCATATTTATACGCGAAGACTGGCCTATGAATGTGAGTGAAGATTTTTTGAAGTTCCGAAATGTTCGTAGTGAATTGTCAACCTGGAATGAATATTGTATTCCAAGAGGTACTAGAGCAGTAATACCAGAATCATTAAAACGTTCAGTTTTAAATATGGCACATTATGGTCATCCAGGTACTGGTAAAATGAAACAAAGATGTAGAAATTCTGTTTGGTGACCTGGTATTAACAAAAATATCGAAAAATTGTGAATCTTGTTTGTTATCAGAAAAATCGGTGAAATTTTTCAAACCTCCGTTGAAACCTTAGAAATTTCCTGATGGTCCGTGGCAAGAAATAGAATTAGATAATTTTGGTGAAATTCATGTAGCTCTGCAGGGTTATAAATTTTTAGTTGTGGTATACGACTTGTACTCAAAATGGCCTGAAATTGCAGCGACTACTCAATCCTTGATAAACATTTTGAAAGATTTGTTTTCCAGATGGGGATATCCGAGAATTTTAATC